GCTTGTAGGGGGGGTCCCCCCCTGCAAGTGGGGCCCTGGTAAGGGCTCCACCCATTGGGCCACGGCTACTGCTGGTGGTGGTGGTGGTGGCAGGCGCCGCCGTCCATTGTCTCACCTTAAGGTTGCGATACTAGCTAATCACAACTAACTTTGTAGCGGCGCCCCCCTATGCATGCAAGATGGACAATCGGAGGCCACCGAGGACCGCTACCAGATGCCTGGGTTCTGCCAAGGAGTTTAGATTAGAAGCTACTGCCTGGCTACTGTACTACATAGTATGCACTACTGTTAGTGTGTTACAAGGTTCCGTACTCGTTACTGGGGATTTGACATGTTGCCTGACCCTTTGCTGCCTCGTATCGGGATTGGCCACTCTTTCTACCAGCGACAGAAAACACACGAAAGATCCAGGTCTGGCCGTGACAAGAAGAGCAACGATCAAGTATTTGTCAAGTACAGCGCGGGATAAAGTCGCCGCTGACGGCAGTAGAGTGGTCAGCCAGCGCTGGAAGCCAAGGTGAGGTGGCCAGGTTCAGTGGTTGACATCGGGACCAAGCGAAGAAAAGAACTCGGAATGTAGGAGCATTTAGTATTGAAAGCAGAGAAGGGCGGAAGAATAGTGGCCCTGGGCGCCTCGAGCTACACTTGCATGACAAAAACGGAGTGAATGTGCAGCCCACCCAAGATCAGGTGTATCAGTAATGAGCTCTCGTACTCCGGTCCTGGCTATTGTCTAAAGAGAAAAGAAGGCTGCTAAGAATCTGCCGCTTCCAGTACTTAGAGGCTTCTTGATATATCTGAGAATGGGCCAATGATCGCCCACGAAGCATGCTTAATAACAAGATAGTCTGTAGATATACGCAAATGACCCTCGAATCTTGGACGCTAAAACACTTTCAATATGGCAGATGATCAACCAGTAGCGGGAGAGCACTATCTCAGCCGGGCCAAAGAAAGCTTTCGCCAACAATGGAATGCTGAATTGAAAGCTCTTTGTCCAAGACAAGAGCAACACCGTTAGAGCTAGAAATAATGCAAAACCTTTGTACTTCATAGCTTCAACTATGTACACATCGAGCATAGGATGGTATGATACAGCTTTTGTGATCATGTACCGGGTAAAAAACACCGAATCATGAGTCATATTTGGATAGATCCCAGAGAAAGTGGCAGTAAGCAGGGTATCATGTGTGTATGTGAGAGAGGCAGATCGTAATCCAAAGCAATATCCGCAAAAACTCCCCCACAAGACCTCATCTTTGTAAAGCAGCGCCATGAGATGTCATCTGTTCATCCATCTCAGTAGACAAGTTCCTGCCAGACTGAGAACCACCCCGTCCACCCACGCTCAAATTGCAGCAACTGTCAATATTGGGATATCAATATCAATTCAAGAGGCTGGAAAATTTCATACGGGTATCCCGAGTGCCGGAAGAGTCCTGGAGATGGTTGTGGTGTTCAACCTTTGGTGCGAGGCAGATATTTGGGTTCGAGGCAGAGTACCGATGGCTGCTGCTGTATTGTCCGTCGAAGCTTACTGTCCTGCTTACAGGCGTTGGAAGGAGATATTTTGGTTCCGAAGATGCCGATGGAGGTATAGCTGAAACGTATCCCTCATCGCCTGTGAACGGCATGGAGACCAAATTGGAGATGGTGGGTGCACTTCCTCTGCGGTCCATGTGCGACGAATCGTGCCAACGCGATCGACTGCTCTCCGCTGGAGCAGAGACATCTGGTCGTGGTGAAGACCAAGTCTTCGGAGAGATTGAATAAGTGGAGTTATGATCAGATACTAGAGATGGCGCTCGCTCCATGGAAGTCGCAGAATGAGGTGGTTCCATGACGTGAGACACCCGTGACGGAGAAGGTTGACTCGTGTTGATGAGACGAAGTGACGGTAATGACTGTGCGTTGTGGTCATCAGCATATCTGCATAGTACTGGACCTGAAAGGCGCTCTGGCGTGCGTTGCGTACGGTAAGTGTTGATTTGAAACTGCTGGGCGTCGTGAAGGTCCGAGTGGAATTGCCCACGGCTGTATATCCTGTCGATTGTCTGATTCTGTTGACTGCGAAGAGTGCGTCGATCGAGGTTGGATGCTCCTCTGTCTTGCCACGTTGGAGTACATCGAGGAGATGGGTTGCTATAATTTCGATGCCTGACATCGTATTCGACTGGAGATTTCGATGATCTGACCAGGGAAAGTGGGTGCGTGCGATTGGAAAGAGTCTTGGAGGATGGACCATTATGTGGCACATTCCTCTTCCTCCGGTTCTGGCTTCCATTCCACCAATTCTTTACTGCATTGTCGCTGCGATTACCTAGCCGCCGTGCAATCTCTGCCCATTTCTTGCCCATGTCGGACACCATTTGCTCGATCAACTCGCCCTCCTCGGCTGATATGGGGTCATGGTTAAGCGACGATTTCAAATTTTGATGATAGCGTTCTCGACACTGTTTCGGTGATCGAAAATGCATGTGTTGTGAGATCTGTACCCAGTTGTTTGGGCCTCTCGAGGCCACAAGCGCAAGAAGAGTGGCATCTTCCTCAGCCACCCACGGCCCACGACGATGGGCTCGACTCATGATCCCGCGCTGAGAGGACGAATCTTAGTCTGTATGCATGTTAGCTTCTTGCCATGACAATTGATGAAATGACTTGCAAACTAGGATTACTTCTATCGCGAGAGTAGAGATACGCGAAAGAAACGATGGCACGACGATTATGAGAATGGTGGGAAGAAGGTAATGAACTGTAAACCTGAGAAGACACAGAAGGTACGCTTTGAGTTCTGCACCCAGATAGGAGCTCATGCATCAGGCAACATTCAAAAGAGCGAATGCCGCTGAGTTAAAACAAAATGTAACCTCTTGACACTGTGGGAAATGCGGATGTTCCGAAGCAGTCAACTTACGTCGAGTGGGACTGATGAGTTTAGTTCATCGAGCGAGCGGGGACCAAAGTGGATGGTGGACCGTAGTTAGCACATAGACAATGGTCTCATCTACAAACGAGGCTAACAGGAACGTTGAATATCGAAATTTGATGCTTTGCAGATTGATAGGCTGAGCTGCATCTGGAATAGACATGCAAATAGAAACAATACTGAAAATACAAAACGGAGATGTTGCGGAGGCAAGATGATGAACTGTTTGAGGATAGCGAGGCGGAAGAGCTGCACGATTGGGCTTGAGCTAGCTCGAGACATGACAGTGGCTGATATAGTAGTGCGCAATGCTCCTAGAACGGGCATCACAGCATGACCCACTACCCAGATCATGGGGACTTGCCATGAGAAGTGTGAGATGGCGTTGCCTAGCTTAAAGATTTGATGGGCGTCCAGGGTCTTCGTCAAACAGAACCCTGCCGCGCGGGGACTACAAGATCCTTCAAACCTGTCCTAGGGGTATTGGACGTTGTAGACGATCGAACGATAAAGACTTTTCCTTGTGCCGGTTCAGCTTAGTCACTGTTATTGAGGCACATCACGCGTTGGGGTAGCTGAGAAGTAGTGATACAACTCGAGTTTGTCCTGATTAGCCAATTGGGGTGTTCCAGTTGAAAGACTAGATAGTAGGGGGGGGAGGTGGAATGCGCCAGTATTTCGCGGTTGGAAATGAACAGACCTGATGTTTGATCGAGTGGCCAGTGTGTATGGCGATGTGTATGGGTCATGGTCGTGATTGACTAAAAGCGTAGTCGAAACGCTAACAGGGGGTGGCAGCCGACGACAGCGGACGGTTGCGATGCTCGATAGTCGGCTCTTGGCTGGCTGGGGTTGACAACCACGCCGAACTGGAAGAGCAAAAAGGTGTGGCGCGGGGATCACCAAATCTTCCTCGAGCCGTTCAGGGATCTTCCTTCCCCAAACTCTAATCTTCCTTGCCCGGCCCCCCCATGATTTAGGTTTCGCCATAGGTCAGTCATTTTGGGACCGGCAGCCCCCCCCTGCCCTACTTCGCAGACATATACATAGTAAATTACGAGTATGCAATCATAGAAGGAGAACATTTCCAGCAAATTTGTTAGCTAGGCCACAACGAGACATTCTCTTCCGTCATCTGTTCCATACCCTCGGTGCCGCCCTGGGCCGTACCTAATTCTCATTTCTACCGATTCAACTCGTCCTTTGTCCCCATGAGATTCCTCAGCTGCTAAAGTGCAATTCTTCTGCATCTCATTACGAGACATGCTCCAGAGCTTTGCACCATTGCTGCACAAGGTGAAGATCACACATCGATCGACTTAGAGATCTTTCTCAAGGGAGAGCCGCATCTCGATCGAGATCTGGTTTGACCCTGGTCCGCGAAAGCGGCTTTCACCGTTCAGATTTGGGATCGGGGCTTCATGCCAAGTTCTTCGTCATGTTGGGAACTCGCCCAAAAGAGACGAAGCTATCCTAATTTAGCATTTGCTCCTCAATGATTGGTTCAAGATTTAGCCAATTTCTGATTTGGGACGATGATGCTGATATATTCCGTGCAGCACATGCAATGATTCGTTCAAGTCCAAACCTACATCTCTATTGGTTCAAGCCCAAAAGCCATCGACGTTGGCGCTTGTGTGATTCCTTGACGTGAAATGCCGTTCGTACGTGTCTCACTTTAGTCAAACCCGCCTCACAGCCCCTGCAGTCTTTTCTTTTCGGATTTCCTCAAGCTCAATACTCGTACATGGAGATTGCCTCAGTGGCCAGTGCACCGCAACGGCAATTTTCAACGGTTTACAGTATTTTAATTGGTTGCTCTCGGCGGTTGTCTCCTTCGATGGGCTTCCGATCCATCTTCGAGCCAAATCTGGTTATAGGCAGCTCACTCGTGATTTTGATAAACACGTACGTTAACTGCAGGGGGATCGGGGGGGGGAGGTATATCAAGCAGCCAAAACCTAAGGACGATTAACTAGCCCCTAAGTTAGGAAATAATTCCCAGAGACATCATGGAACCTACAACAGATGACCAAACGCAGGCTCTGATGGCGTTCGAGGCGCCCATTTACACCCACCGGGCAACTGTTCGAAGGGTCTTGAGAGTGTCAGGTCAAGCCCTGAACATCTGAGACTATGAAAGGAAAGGGTTTGTGACAAATACATCCCTGACGTATGCTAACCAGGTACACACAACCCGCCCTTTTTTAAAGCGGCTTGTCTTGGTCGCATGTAGGGTAGGAACCTCAAGGATGAGCACCTTGCTTAGGGCAATCAATTGGCATACCATGTCGTACTACGTAGACGATCTGGTCTTGTAAAGTCAATCTGGGGCCAATGTCTGGGTAATGTTCGTGTACGTAGTAGTTCACACACCCTATGGGTGCCCTGTAGGGTCGGAAAAACAGCCCGGATGGGATGATCCTTGCTGGTAGCCAAGACACGATGCACAAGCAAGGATTTTAGCGAATGGACCATGATCTAGATGAGACATCCCAACTTCGGTGACCAGTGAGCGACTTTAAGGAAGGTCCGGCACAAGATGCTAGCTCCAACGGCGAGCACACCATTGGTGACTCAAGAACTTCCCACCCTCGTGCGGCATTTGGCTTCGAGCACAGCTGTGGAAGAACCCAGTATCTTGGAAGGAATTGTCTGAAATCCGATCCATGGCAATAAGCTAAGATCTGATATTGGAGGATGAACCAGATTGCTGGGTAATGACATGGTAGTATTATGCGTCAATTCAGGAGTCAAGCACATGGTCAAGCCCTTAACTATCCGATAATACTTGTTGACTAGCAATTCTCATCCTCAGACGCCCATCGACTGCTACACCCATTTGGAATAAGGGATCATCCTAGGTTTGCTGCTCAGGTTCCGATAATTGGGGACGGATGAACCTCAACATAAGGAAAGCAGCTTGTCATCTCGTGCATGTGCCAGATTTTGGACTTGAGCGAACCTCGCAGAATGATCGTGCCCTCTTTCGACCTAGACGGATGCGGCCCAATTGGACTCGATGCTCGTCCCTATCCGCACGGTTAAGGCTTTCCATCGCTTCCGCCAGGGCTCTACACAGTACAATTCGCAGCGTTGTTTGTCGCCCGAGATAGCTGTATCATGAACGTTTGTTGCCTGATCTGGTTGTAACGTTGGATGGACTTGAGAGGAGCTAATCCTATCCAAGACATCCGTTCGCCGAATTGCGTTTAGACTGAGGAAAAAGGCTTACAGAAAATGTTTTGATAGAAGGATTGCCCAAAAGGAAAGCGTAATTATCAGACCGTCAGGTGTATGCGGTTAGACGCTTGAATGCTGTCCCAGTGGCTGCGCTACTCCCATGGGCAGGCGAATCTACGTGAATGACTATATTTCCCAGGCTATCAGCAAGCTACTGAGACAGATTAGGTGTAGTAAGCCTATTTCGAGGAGAGGTGGAATAAGAAGCAGGTCCGAGAGTTCGCTGTTCTACTCTGTACGTAGTAGGGTGAAAAGATCGATTTACGTACACCATTTGTCATTCTGCAGCAGGTAGACTCAGATTCAGGTGTCAGTCCTTCTTGGTGTGAGAAGATTGTGCAGTGCATAAGCATGCATTTGGTGGGTCACCAGAGCAGAAAAAGGAGTACGGGTTGCATGCATTAGACCTACCGGCATATGAGAATATGCAAGGCGGCTGAAATGCCAGATCTCGGGATCCTCGATCCTGGGTCGGTTCACCCAAAGCTGGAATCGCAACGGCCAGCCAGTCGATCACCTTCCAAATGTGGCATTTGTACTACAGCGTTGAAGATGTACCCTTGTCCTGACAAGAAATGGGTGATCCGGAGTACACTTTCTGAGTTCAGCTACTGATACTAGTAGTAGTCGTTGGCAATGATGCCTGCCTTGACATTGCAACCTCCTAGATTGTGGTGCGGGCTGCAGGGAGGAGATGCAGCATTTGCGCCAATGATAACAGTTAGCACTCATTGTCTAGCAAACTTCATCTTTGCCCACGGTTGTCGCTGTAGTTGGCCGCTAACCAGGATCTGCTGCAAGAAACCTTTTCCCTCCTGATTATCCCGCTCGTTTCACATAGATTTCGATCGAATCTTTGGCTCCATGGCGGTCAAGTACTGGTTGCAGGGGAGGATTTGTCAGGCATCCCGGCCAAGAGACAGAAATGAGATCTGACAGCTTGTGGTGCAGATGATGCACTCATTTAATTACTTGGGCCTCGTTCGTCTCAAGTTCTGCGTTTGTCATTTGGTTCGATAGAAGAAGATTATTTCACACAATCCCGACAATTTATCGATCGAAAAGAGGCATCCGACCAAGCTGTACGAAGAACTACCAGACTGCTGGCCAAGTGTTTCGTCATGCAGACCCAGCTACAAGGATTCACTCTTTTGTTCTCACATTGTCTCTAGCCATCTTCCCCAGGTTCCTCAGAAGATAGCTTCTCTTGAAGTACGCATTTGGGTGTACGATGGTATCCAGCTCTGCCGCTTCCCAGGTTCCATCATCCTTCACTTTCTTGATCTCCCCTTTGTGCGCCCATTCGAACACGCGATTGCAAGCAATGTGGTATCGTTTCTTTTCGACGTCTTCCTTGACACCTTTGAGCACGTCGCGTTCATTGACACCAGTCGCTTGCAGCATGCTAGTAAGATTATCGATTGAGAAATGGCGGTATGGACATCCGTGAGCTTCTCCAGGTCCTGGCGGATGCTCTGTCAGGATCTTTTGACATGAATACGGTGAGTAGCCTCTTCCTCGGCGGTTCGCATCCCCACCTACGTCGCCATAAGCGTGTCGTATGTTGTATTTATACTCTTTGTTGAATGTATCGTCTGTGATGAGCTTGAAGCTGTGGCGCCAGAAAATAAGGCAATCCTCCAGTGACAGCCCAATGCCTTTCAAGAAGAACGTATATTGTAGCCTGCCAAAATGCTTTAAATGGGAATTCTGGCGTAGAGTACTGTGCAGGTTCTTCATGCAAAGCGGAAAGTGCTGTGATAGACTATCAATGTTTGAAGCGTTGATTGGGGCACCAGGAAGCGCAGCATCAGAGTCATTGTACGCCGCATCAGGTGTTGCGAAGTTCTTGGTCAGATGATTGAGGATTGGTGAAAGGCGATCATCCTCGTCTAGCCTTGGAAGTGCCCGCGAAGTCAGCTCAAGTGCTTTTTCAAGACGATTAGTAAATTCCGTCATGATCATGCTGGTCTGTTCCCGCATTGGCACGTAAGCCATTCCCCTCCTCAGAAACACAGTTCGATACTCAACCAATTCTGGAACTCGGGTCCAATCTACCTTGAACCAGTTCTCCTCATCTAGTTTCTTCAACCCAGGGGTGGCCGCAAGTAGCTGTTCCCCTAGCTGTCGTTTTTCATCACCTGTAACCATCTCCCAGTCAAAGTGGAGACTTTCCACAAAAGCCCTGCGTTCCCTCCCGTCATCTGTCTGGTATCGTATCTTGAAGAGCATGGTCTCCACTCTTGCAAATCGGCGGCGAAGGTCTTCGGTGCCAGAAAAAGCAAGGCGCAGAATGAAATGCGAATAGTGATCCTTCTACCGTTCGTCTCTAAGACGTTGGTCAATCACTCCACCAGCGGCAGCTGAGTTTGCTGAAAGTGGTAGGTATTTTTTGAGAAGGGGCTCAATATGTGCAGCTGTTTCCTGGGGCGTTTTGTTCCGAAAGGAGCACGCTTCAATCTCAGCAAGAACTAAGATCCTCGGTCAGCCGGAGCAGTCGGTCAGTATGGATGTACTTACTCCGTAGCCGGTGGATCGCCCATTTCTCAAAATCCTCGAGACTGATCTCGGAGGTAGGTGGGAGCTCGTAGAAGTTTAGTCGATGTGGATAGTCTTGCTGCTTGTATACCGCCACAGCAAATTGTTTCTTCCTTTCATTGACATGTCTTCGCTTGGCATCGAGGCGTTGTATATCGGATTTGATCATCTTTACAGTGTTGATGTCTAATGAACAGTAGTTGCTGGCGTGCTTAGAGGAGACGCGTAACGACGCGTTTAACGATATACGTATTATGTAATATCGGATCGGAGACTACCTTTTTAGTGCTAGTTATCTTGACGGACCTCTAACCGTGCACTTTTTGCACTAAGCTTTGCACGCAGCGCAACGATAGATTTTTTCAATTATTCGTACGGCCACACAAAACGCACTCCCATTCAACGAAAAATGGCCGAATCCTATCAAGAAATTGAGGATAGAATCAATGATGCTATTTACGCATTAAACGAAGCCGAATTCCCTAATATCGCGAAAACTGCGCGCGAATTTGACGTCCCCGAACAGCGACTCTGAAGACGATTCAAGGGCGTTCAAAATAAGATACAATGTGGGGGGAGTAATAAGAAGCTCAATAAGGATCAAGAGCTTGCTCTTTGTCACTATCTTGATCGATTAGACGAATCAGGAGTGAGTGCACGTCCTCAAATGCTTTAAAGCGCTGCAAATTCTATCCTTGAACGGGCTTATAGCAATTCTACAACTACCCCCCCTATAATTAGCAAAGATTGGACTCTACGCTTTCTACAACGCCATCCGAAGTACATTATAAAGAAGAAAAAGCCTCTCTTTATTTTACGAAAGCTTATACATAATCAAGAGGAGATACAAGCTCATTTTGAGCGATTTTGAGAGACTAAGGCTAAATATAGTATCCTTAAAGAAGATATCTATAATATGGATGAAACTATTAAAGTTCTCACTCTGTTGTGTTGTGTATTCTCCTATCTAGATTTTCTAGTAGCTACCTAAATAGGATTTTCTGTGCTATGGCACAGGAAATCAAGGCACGTGACGCGCCAGAGTGGCGCTAAGCCGCTTTGGGATTTCCTCTTGGCAGTTATGGCAGCTCACGCTGCTCTGTGAGGAGGTTGTTAGCTATACGGCTGCACCAGCGTTAAGCTGTATTGCTCAACAGAAACAGGCTTTCGAATAAGCGTTGATTAAGCGCACAAAGTTATTATACAAAAAAAAATCGCTTAATTGCCCTCTTTTATTAATGATCTAGATAATCGCGAATCTCTTACTTCTATTAAGTGTGTGGGCGCCAATAGATTTCTTTTATTATTAATTCTTATAATAGCACTTTAAACCCTCTTTAAGGCCACATTTATTAACAAATTGCCTTTAAATTATTTTATTGTGTGTAGCGAAACTAGATATTCGATTTCTGATATTTATAATAAGTAGATTCGTTATTTTAATAAATTTACAAAAGCTATTACAAAAGAGGTATATCAATTATTAATTTTAGATAAATTCAATACTTATTTTGAATTCAAATTTATATAATTTTGCTAAAATAATGCTATTATTTTCTTCTGCCTTTCTCTTTATTCTACGCATCTTCTATAGCCACTTAATATAATATACTTTTAACCATTTAAGCATTATTATATAAAGGCTATTAACTATGCTATATAGCTTAGTGATTACTTATTTTCGCGATGTTAGGGCTCAACTGGTTAAGACAAGTCTTAACTAGAAGCTGGGTCCAGTGGGTTGGTTGGGTAGAACAGGAAGTGCAGTGAACAATACTAAGATGTCTTCAACTTAGGTATGAGCTGATAACATGAGTTGACTACGGAGTAAGAAGAACTATCTGACTATCTGCGGAAGGAGCGTGCTTATATAGATACGAGATTCGTATGCTCAGTCTTGCTCAGTGGTGAGCAGAGGTGAGCTCAGTTGTGCTCAGTAGTGAGCAGAGGTGAGCAACCGCTAGTATGCTTAGTCTTGGCTGTGCGTCTGGCTTCCAGGCTGCGGGGTTCGGGCAACCTCCCTATCCCGGGTAGGTGCTGTAACACGCGAGCAGTCTTTTTTGTCACGGAGTTGACATGGAGGCCTCCTGGGGCCTAGATGGAGTCGTGGTCCGACTCTCTCTAGGGCATCTGGATAAGGATTAATATACTATTCCAACTGCATTCAAGTAACTTTGGTTACTTGGGCGTAACTCTTTTGTGAAGTTGGATCACTATCTCACTTTTAGCTAATATTCATGAAATTTATATATAGACTTTGAAGAATTCTATAATTCTAAGTGCTTTTTAAGAAACTAGTCTTATGTCTTATAATCCAAATATAATAATTACCAAATTGCCTTCTCTATTAGTTCTTAATTCTAAAAATAACTCTAAATTAGAGTTATTAAATATAATAAAAACGCCAAAAAAGATCAACAAAATTGCTATAGAAAAAATCTATCGTTGCGCTGCGTTCTATCGTTGCGCTGCGGTGCACGGTTAAATATAAATATCTGAAATTTATCGTCGAAGCTGCTTTACACCACGTCATTTGTATGTTGTTTTTGAGTCGTAAACTGCTTCTGGTATCAAGCTGAGCCATCCTTATCTACCGTTTGCATGGCTTATCATTGAGATTTCGATATTTTACCGAGCAGACGTCTCTGTATGGCAGGCTGCGGGAACTCGCCATTTCTACAGATGCAGAATCTTCCTTACTAATTCCACTATTTCAACGTAAAACCCAGTATATGAATGAATGATATCGACTGTCATTTTATCAAATATGCCAGATTCTGGGTCCGTTCGCGTAGTCTTTGCGAGCATCCAAGCATCTCATTTGGATCGTTGTCAAGGAGACAACCTAAATCAGACCCTATCCTTTCTTGCCAGTACTGGGAAGCCTCCTGCGCCTATCATGAACAGTATGGTGCTAGGCACTACTCGAGTAAACTCTTTCACAGAGTAGCAGCATCACACTTATCAAGTCCTTGGCCGTTCATAAATCTTGGTCAGTGTCCTTTGCCTCAAAACATTCTGGAGGTCGGATTGGCCCATGCGGGGTGTTCTTCCGGGCTCCGTCCGTTATTATCTAGGCCTCCCAACGCTCTCTCCTTCTCAACTACGCCCTCTTCACTCAAGTCCTGCGGCCAGTTCCTTCTTTTGCCTCTACATTCTGTGAGGGTATCCTCCTCTATTCCCTAGCCCTCGATGTGCGCCATGGGGACCTAAGCCGCACCCAGGAGCTTCTGCGCTCTTCCCGTGTCCATTGTTCGTCCAGTTGTCTCGGTTCTTCCCCCACCTTCTCCGCTTCTGCCGTCCGACAGGTACCCCACCTGCCGGAAGGCTTCTCGAGAAGAATGGGTGTTTCTAGTGGTAGCAGAAAGCTCAGAGAAGCTGCACGGATAATATTAGTGGGCGCCCCTGGCGTTGGCAAAGGCACACAAAGTGAGCGGCTCATGCGCCGGTACCCCCAATTGGCTTCCATCAGTACCGGGGATTTGTTGCGAGATAATGTCAGGGACAAAACTCTTCTTGGTAAAGTGATACACCAAAGTCATTCTCTGAACTCGTCTTGAGCAACTGCACTGACGTCTGCTAGGGTTACAGGCAGAGTCTTTAATAAAATCTGGATCACTTGTCCCAGATCCGCTCATCCTCGACTTGATCTTGAGGGAGCTAACCTCGAGAAATTGGTTATCTACTTCTAGGCTCAACACAAACATAGTATCAGCTATCTCACAGCGAAGTCGGTCTTCTTCTTGTGCAGTCGAGCCATCACAAGACCCTGAGTCCTCATTCATCCTTGATGGCTTTCCTCGGACAGCGACGCAGGCCGATTCTCTTTCGCGACTCCTACCCATGAACCTTGTCCTGCATCTTGTTACACCAGCCGAAATCATACTCTCACGCATGGCAACGCGGTGGGTTCATGCCTCGTCTGGTCGAGTGTACAATATTGGATTCAACGACCCCAAGGTTGCTGGTATAGACGACATCACAGGGGAGAAACTGGTGCAGCGAGAGGATGATACCGAAGAAACGTGGAGAAAGCGGTTAGCCAAGTTTGAGGAAACTAGCAGCGGCTTGTTGAACTTTTACAAAGAGAAACAGCCTGCAACAGTGGTTGTGGTAAGAGGGAACAGTAGTGATGAGATTTCACCGCAAATATTTGAAGAGGTAGAGCGCCGATTTGCTTGACCATAGACAGCGTTTATAGGATTTATTTTGCATCCTACGAAGTTGGCGTCAGTTTGTGTTCAATCGTTAAGCCATGCCATCTCTCAAATTCTTGAAGATTACACGGATGAATCTAATGTCACAGTTTCAAGATAATTAAATGAGATTAGAAGGATGTCTGCCGACTGCTCAATGCATGAAAGACGAGCTGCGGAGACTGCTTGTAACCTCTGCTGATTCCCAAGTTCTCTTCAGGGTCGGAACGACCCTTCAAATCCAGGCGCCCAGCCATGGGCAGATATCATTCTGCGCCTGCCTTGAACACAGCCTCAATACTGGCAGCTTTGAGACTGATACAAATAATGCATAACGGTCGGCGTGGTGTTATGTAGATGTAGATGAGAGTTTGCAAAGATAAAATTTCGTAAGAAGATCTGCTTGGCATCAGCAGCCTAAGCCTTAGTTACTAGGTACTAACTACTAGAACTCCCAAGAGGCCACTATGGCTCGCATGTCAGGGTCAAGGCAGAATAATCAAAAAGAGCACCGCAGGTCTATTGGCAATGATACAAACTGTTCCTTGAAGCATCCGGAACATCTGGACTGCCCTTCTATTTATCTCGGTGGTCTATCTGACCATGGACTTCGAGGCAGTGAAGGACCAATGGAACGAAGTCGAAGATCGTGATGGTGTCCGACTTAGCTGGAATGTATTTCCCAGTACACGCATGGTAAAGGAAGTGACCTGTGTGTTGACAAAACCATTAATGCATTACAGGAAGCATCGAGACTTGTCGTTCCGATAGGAGCCCTCTACACGCCCTTGAAGGAGAAACCAGACACTCCACTGCTACAATACGAACCTGTCGTGTGCAAGCAGCCATGCAAAGCTGTCCTAAATCCTTTCGCGTATGCCTCCGAAAATTACAAGTCGCGGCATATCAGCTAATAGAGTCAGCAATGTTGATATTCGTGCAAGAATATGGATCTGTCCTTTCTGCCTCCAGCGGAATCCACTCCCTCCACACTACAAAGACATATCAGAGACGGCAATCCCTCCAGAACTTCATCCCTCCAACACGACCATCGAATATCAGTTAGCGCGGCCGGGTCCGGCTCCGCCAATATTCGTCTATGTCGTAGATACTTGCCAAGAAGAGGACAGCTTAAAGGCATTAAGAGACTCCCTGGTGATGAGCTTGTCCCTGCTTCCGGCAAACGCATTAGTTGGCCTGATCACATTTGGGACTATGGTGAGCCTCCTTGCAGTATTGTCCCGCAAACACTAAATACTCTCAGACACAAGTCCATGAACTCGGCTATGCGGAATGTGCCAAATCCTATGTTTTTAGAGGTAGCAAGGACTATGCAGCAAAACAAGTCCAAGAGATGCTTGCCCTTACTACACCTGGAATTCGACCGAACGTCCCCCCTGCACAAGGCCGCCCCCCGCCGCCAGTGGGCGCTGCGGCTCGCTTCTTGCTTCCAGTACAGCAGGCAGAATTTCAAATCACAAATGCGCTCGAACAGATGCAGAGAGATCCATGGCCAGTTGCTAACGATCGAAGAGCTCTAAGATGCACTGGTGTAGCTCTGAGTGTGGCTATTGGTCTACTAGAGACTTCCTTCCAGAATGCCGGAGCTCGAATAATGCTCTTTGCTGGGGGTCCAGCCACCGAAGGTCCCGGTCAAGTCGTTGGTCCAGAACTCCGAGAACCAATTCGATCGCACCATGATATTGACCGCGATAACATCAAGTACTATAAAAAGGCTGTCAAATTCTATGACAATCTTGCAAAGCGGACAGCTCATAATGGTCATATCGTCGATATCTTTGCTGGTTGCCTCGATCAGGTGGGTCTCCTTGAAATGAAAGGTCTTCCCAATTCGACTGGAGGCCACATGATCTTGACAGACAGTTTCACGTCTTCTCAATTCAAGCAATCCTTTGTTCGCGTGTTTGACAAAGATGCTCAAGACCTACTACTGATGGGTTTTAATGCTTCTCTTGAAGTCTTGACTACCAAAGAGTTAAAGGTGACAGGACTGATAGGCCATGCGGTATCTCTCAACAAGAAATCAGGCTCTGTTGGCGAAACCGAATGTGGCATTGGCAACACCTGTGCGTGGAAGATGTGTGGTATAGATCCAACTGCAAGCTATGGGATATATTTCGAAATTGCAAATCAGGGCGGTCCTTCTGCCATGCAACAAGGACCTGCTCGAGGATCTATGCAGTTTCTTACATATTACCAACATTCAGGGGGTCAGTATCACCTCCGAGTCACAACTGTTGCCAGAAATCTAAGCGGTCCTGCTGGTGATCCATCCTTGGCCCAGTCGTTTGACCAGGAAGCGGCAGCAGTTCTCATGTCTCGCATTGCAGTGTTCAAGGCAGAGGTAGACGATGGGCCTGATGTGCTCCGATGGGTCGACAGAATGCTCATTCGATTGTGTGCTCGATTTGCCGACTATCGCAAGGACGACCCAACCTCTTTCCGTCTAGAGAAGAACTTTACCCTTTATCCACAATTCATGTTCCATCTTCGCCGATCCCAGTTCCTTCAGGTCTTTAATAACTCACCTGACGAGACAGCTTTCTACCGGCATGTGCTCAATCATGAATATGTTGGAAATTCTCTCGTTATGATCCAGCCGACATTGGACGCCTACAGCTTAGAGCATGAAGGCGCTTTGCCAGTCCTACTCGATTCAGCTTCGATTCAACCTACCCACATACTTCTGCTTGATACATTTTTCCAGATTCTGATCTTCCACGGCGAGACAATGGCAGAGTGGCGAAAAGCAGGATATCAGGATCAAGAAGGATATGAAAATTTCAAAGCAATTCTTGATGCCCCAAAAGAGGATGCTAGGGAGCTCGTACAGGACAGGTTTCCTTTACCAAGGTTTATCATATGTGATGCCGGTGGCTCTCAAGCACGCTTCCTCCTTTCCAAACTCAACCCTTCCACAACACATGCCAGTGGAGGATACGGTGGAGTTTCACAAACAGCGCAGACCATATTCACTGACGACGTCTCCCTACAGACCTTTATGGACCACCTGATGAAGTGAGCTATCTTGTTTGAGTGATTGACTGGACTATTGCTAACAATTCTGACAGACTTGCGGTGTCGGGCACAACCTGAGCTTGGTGGGTTGAAAACGCGTCTTCTGGCTGAGTGACCCGGGGACTTGTGATACTCTTGCGGCAACCTTAGTGTATCTAAACAATAGACAACCCGTTTACAATTACTGCGTAGTGTTGAGACAATTCAAGGAACTTACTACTGTTGACCTGGGCTACCTCAGAAGGGACGTTAGGGCTCTTAATTCACGTGATGCCAAGATTTCTGCGGCTACCGCAAAATTGAACTTCAGTAGCTGCAACTATGAGAAACATTAGTTTCGCTTCAACATCAATCAACAACCTCAAGAAAGACCGACTACCTTTCGCACCCGCCATGCGTAAGTATCGTCTTCTTGAGTCTCATCAATATGGCGACTGACGAAGTTTCTCACCTCCAGCTCCAAAATTCGACCCCAATGAGGTGAAAGTCATGTAAGTAACTGTACTGCAGCTTGTCTATCTGGAACACAGCTAACGGACGTAGCCATTTGAGAGCCACTGGTGGTGAGGTTGGAGCGTCCTCTGCACTCGCACCAAAGATTGGGCCCCTGGGACTTTCACCTAAGAAAGTTGGTGAAGACATCGCAAAAGCCACTGGTGATTGGGTAGGTCCCTCTCAGTAATGTATCTCTTTCGGTTCTTACGATTTTTTCAGAAAGGTCTTCGCGTCACCGTCAAACTCACCATCCAAAACCGACAAGCAGCTGTCTCCGTTGTTCCCTCCGCATCCTCGCTTGTCATTAAAGCTCTCAAAGAACCTCCACGAGACAGGAAGAAGGAGAAAAACATTAAACACTCAAAGTCTATCCCACTAGACGAGATTATTGACATTGCACGGACTATGCGGTTCAAGAGTCTTGCCAAAGAATTGAAGGGAACTGTGCTCGAGATTCTAGGAACCGCATTTAGTGTTGGGTGCCAAGTTGATGGACGAAGTCCAAAAGAGATCAGTGATGAAATAAAGTCAGGGGAGATAGACAGTGAGTCGCTGTCTGCAGCATGACTGGCGATATTCTACTAATGTGAGCGAATAGTACCTGACGAGTAGCAAGACATTAGTGATGCTCTGGTTCATTGACCTTAGGTCGATGGGTGCCAAACTGGATCTCAACGATACGATAGCCAGGTATCGTTAATGACGGTCTCTCGAGAACCTTCCATGTTTACCAGAAACCTTTTTCCGTCCTCCTTGTGTTAACACCATCACCTTGCCTGCGTCCCTGATCATCTTGGTTCCATTATGATGCCCCTGGTTGAAAGGTACCGCAAGCCCAGTACTTTGCCAACACTCTGGCCCTTACCCCCTCTCCTAATGGATTGGAACTATCTACGGTATAGGCCTATTTTGGTGCAAAGAAGATTAAACCTTCACTGACACGCTACTCACCCCAACATCGGGTCTCGATTGAGACAGTGGATGTCGGGGTCCATCATATTGTGTCTACAACATTATAACAGTGTTCTAGAGCTCTGTCTGGAGCTCCACAAGGCAGCCTCAACCCAACCCTGAGTGTCTGAATTCTCGTGGTTCTTGAATCTGTAACACGTTTCAAGTTGACCCTTGCAGTATAGGTATACAGAACACCGCGTTTGGTGGTTAGCCTGATCATGCAGTTGCCCATTCGTGTGGCGCTTGGCATGACCACGGCAGGCTGTACACACAGCGTTGTTACATGACAGATGCAAAATACTCGGTGCTGGGTGTCCATTCGCTTGAGCCATCCACTATCAAGGCTGGTCGCCGACGCGGCATTTGAGCAGTTAGAGTCTATATCATGGCAGGAGTCTTACTACGTAGTACGTAGATTTTGGACCCTGCCAGGGCTGTCATCCAGTTTCGGCCTAGCCATGCAGACAATCAGCCGCCAGTCGACCGTTTCGGTTCGGGAATGGCAGTGCCGTTTTGCTCAATCATATTCGCTAGCAGGCTGCGCCATTGGGTACAGAGTGCATGTAGCCAATTTCAATACTTGTAGGAGGAAGGATAGCACCTGCAGGAAAGATGGTACGTAGAAGCTCGTCGAGTACTCCGTAGGTAGGAAAGCAATTGAAGACGCGCAACGAGAGCTGTGACACAGATCTTCCCACCCACAACCCCTGTCAAGGCCCGAAGTGATGGGTACCAGCAGGATCGCCTAAAGTCAGCCGTAAAGTCGTGTGAATGGAAGAACATTGCTTTCGGACGGGAGCATGCAGTTTTGTAAGCACTTACTGCCAGTGGAATATCTCGCATTATTGAAATTGAAAACGAAGCAAACACATTCTGCAGATAAGGCTCGCTGAGACTGGGCAAATGCATACGTAGTAAAGATGTGGTGGCAGGACTTGTGTGTTCGGAACCTCGGATTGGTAGATCGTACAACAGGCGGCCAACATGATGGTGAACTTTGGCCCCCCATGTGCAAGGTTAGTTGCCATGATAATGCTTGTACAGAAGACTATGCATGGGTAGAAGAAGCTGGGCATGAAGCCAATTGCGGGTGGTGACAGCGCAGATGAATGTGCTAACGAGTGTCAGATCATCTATCCGTGCAGTAGCATTTTTAGGTGAACAGCCACAAACCAGGCGTCGGCGTCAACCCACTGCCTCCTGTGACCACCACCAAAAAAACTCGTTCTGTTCAACAATCCCCTACTTCAGATAATTCAGTGAATCTTTTCCTTGAACTTCCGACAACCCCTCCGATCTCGTTGTGCCTCGTGCAACAGACCACTTCCGAGCGGTGAACTTTGTTTGGTACACGACTGCCTCGAACCATTCTCTGACCCCAATTTTCGAACCACGACCAGGAACAGACTCCATTACATCCTAACAACTTTATGATGCACAGACGATAGCGCAACAGCGAAAAGATCACTTCAATCGAAAAGCATAGCTTCGGTCTCCAATATATTTCCGCCTTCTCAGTGGTGTACCGAGTTATCAGTTCCAGCCTGACTGTATACTTGTGAAGGCTCAGCACCTAAAATTGCTCCACTCCAGAAGACGAAACAGACGCGCATCTGCATTCGACATCAATCTTCTTGTGCATCCCGTGAAAGCTGTAAGGAACGAAAGTTGGATGGGGCCCGGTAGCTAAAATCATACGTTGAGGGAAGAGGAGAAGAAACGAGAAGGAAGGGCAAGATGAGAAATAGACGAGCTGACGTGAATTTGCTTTATCGTCGGTATCCGCAACGAATGAGATAGATCAGGCAAGAAGCTGGTCGACAGACGGTCTGTCTAGCGTACCAAACGAATGAGCTCTAGACCTTGGCGTTGTTCTCGCAATGTCAGCCAATATTGCCCATGCGGTTCATATACCGTCTCCATTTGATCATCAGCAGCGTATTCGAAACTACTTCCATGCTCATCACAGAACAGATGTCACATCATATGAAACATTGCCACTTTATGGAGCTGCGCATGGATATGCAAGCACCATGTCCATGGTGCCGCGCCAGTATGCATTCCCTGCAATCTCTGCTATGCCACAGGAAATATCGAAGAAAGGGACGACTGGGCTCAGCTTTACAGAGCATGCATTACGCAGGAAGACGCCGAATGGAACCATTGCAGGAGGATACGATGCAACTCCAGTGGACAAAACGATTCCTCTTCCTGCCACGAAGCACATCTTGGTTTCCTTGCAGGAACCCGCCGGCATCGTCTCTCCACGATCATGTTTGCCAGAAAGAAGCTGGCAGGACAGAGCTGTGAACGCCCCAACCTTCCTAGATTCCCGTACAAACTCTGGGCTCACGGCGAAACAGGTCAGTCCGTTTGCACAAATCAACCAATATCCCACCACTCCATCGATGACCAATTATGAAAGATGGGAGTTTCCAGGCGGATTAGACTCTGTCTTAAATCAAACTCTACCAATGCAGCCAAGCGGTCGCTTTTACTTGCAGCATGGGTCGTCTATCCCAACGGTACTCCCAACAAGCCTGCAAGCATATCCAGGGCCTACAGCCTCAGCAGGAAACGAGTTCTTTGGCCGATATTCGCCCAACGAAGCGTTTGTCCCATTTCCCTACTGGCCAGCTCCAGTTCGTGACCACCGCTATTTCCCAAATGCTTCTGCCCATGGTTGGGCTACCAACAAGCACGCACCGCAAAATTGGATGACATTACAAACTCATCCTCAACCATCACAAGTGGATTTTCTAGGGCCCGGAATTCAAGCAAGTCATTCCAGAGATACCGGTGGCTTTGGCCAAACGCCTAGCGACTCTTTCCCACCTAGCTATGGCATGACGCAATCAGGAAGACTGCCTCCCAGCAAGGAAGATCAACAAGGATGTGGATTGCAAGATCTTTCAGTGTATAACACATCCGGTCCATTTTCGCCGTCGAACAATCACCCAAACAGCCTACAGAAGCCTCTCTCAGACTTTAGTCCCTATTCTGACCATGCTGCCTTGCGGGAGAAAATATTTAAATGGGCTCACGATGTCTACGTCAATCTACTCAGCTCAATTCACAAACACCGGCAGTTTAATACGGTGAATGGAAATGGCTCCGCTCGCCGCTCTTCGAAGCTAAACATATTCCCTAGGCCGCCACGGCAGCCTGGATCTGATTTCTCTACTGTGAGAAAGAATGACGAGAACTCGTCGCAAAGACTTTTTCAAGCGTTGCCCACAAGTATGTCGAACTCCCAAGCAACACCAGCTCTGAGACAGAGACCTCCTCCATCCGGAAGTATATGCTCGCCGTCACAAAGGCTATCACGTCAATGGTCTGGAGAGGGCGGACCGAGGCCGAGCGCTGGTCGGATGCAATCATTCTCTGAGTATTACCATGACAGATATGGTGGTTTGCCGAACAAGGTTCAGGGCAATTTTCCCGGGACATTGTCAAGAGAAAGTGCGGACCCTTCTCCTGAGCGGTTGGCCGCGCTGGCTGCCCTGGATGTGCTGGTAGAATCTTGTCAGAAGAGCAGCCGAAGCTGGATCGAGGGAATGCTCCTTGCAGGTTGCTTGGCATATGGCCTGGGTGATTATACACAAGCACTGAACTGGTATCAGAACGTTCTATCCCGAGATTCGTCTCACGTGGAGGCCCTTTCAAACCTTGCAGCCACACTACTGGCTCTCAATCGACGAGAGGAGGCTCTGCAGCATTGGAAGCAGGCGGTGAAGCTTCGGCCGAGCTATTTTGAAGCTGTGGAGCACCTCATCGGTCTGCTGTGCGCCAACCAGCGAACGCTCGAAGCGGTCAAGATCATTGAGTTTGTGGAGCAATCACTTAGAATAAGCAAGCAGGGTGAATACCTGCACGGACTCGAAACCGCCAGCGAAGGCGAGAGCGAGACAAAAAGCCGATCTTCTAGCGACTACAATCTGGAAGCATGGGATGCCGCGACGTTTGACTATGACGAGAATGAGAAGTCTCCAATGTTCGACTTATCTTCGCGCGATGTCGAAAGCCCAGGATTTGGTTCAAGTGGATTCGCTATACCGGGGTCGGAGAATGGCCGAGTTTTGGCCTTGATCCATGCCAAGGGGAACATGTTATATTCACTGAATGACAATAAAGGTGCTGCCGCTGCCTTCGAAGATGCCATCTTGATTGGGTCTGGGAGGCGGCGAAACGGAATCCGGGGTCTCATTAGGGAAATTCTGACCGCATTTTCTGACGATTCAAACGATGGATACCTGCAGAGTTCTCGAGATCCGCCCAAGGAGCCCATACTACTCTACCCAGAGAAAGCACTGCTAACAGCAAAATTGATATTCGGGCCACAAGGTCGGCTGCCTGGCCTGGAACATGTTCCCCATGGTCCGAACAGTCAAAATGAGAAGGCCGCTGTATCGACCACCAGCAATTCGCTGCTCTCTTTGGCTAAGATCTATCAAGATGGTCTATCGAATGCAGGTGCAGCGAACGGACCTAAGACTGCTACCGGAGTTCGGGACATACTTGCTTTGTACTATCTATCACTGTCGTTGCAGCCGAGCCCGTCGACTGCAAACAATGTTGGTATATTGCTTGCGAGCGTTCAGCAAGTCGTCCCACACCGTCTTTCACCAAAAGCAGTGGCAAATCAAGCGATCAATATCCCAGGTGTGGTAGCAGGTAGTGGCGTTGCATTGGCGCTATCATATTATAACTACGGGTTGAACCTCGACGCACATCATGCACACCTCTATACCAATCTGGGAAGTTTGCTCAAGGACATTGGCCAGCTTCGAGCTGCCATCAAGATGTACGAGCAAGCGGTCAAGTGTGATCCCAACTTCGACATTGCCTTGGCCAATCTTGCCAACGCCGTGAAAGACCAAGGCATGGTCGCTGACGCCATCGGCTACTACAAGCGAGCAGTTCACGCCAATCCGGAATTTGCAGAAGCCGTCTGTGGCCTTGCCACTGCTCTCAACTCTGTTTGCAACTGGACTGGGCGAGGTGGTGTATACGCTGGCAACGGTGATAGAGATCGTTGGCACGTCGATGATAAGGGAGTCCTCCTGGATCCGACGCTCACTCGCCAAGGTACGGGCTGGATGAATCGGGTGGTCGAGATAGTTGATAAGCAACTGAAGGACGGAGTTTCATGGGGCCGGCACTGTCTCACTCCCGGCTTGATCGAGCGATTGTGCCAACAACTTACTCATCTCGACCACGCTGCAGGGCATCGCAACACCATGCAGAAAAGATCGACAATCCTCAAAGCTCTCCGAGAATGGTCAGGTCAAGATTGGGAAGGCGCTCGCATTGTTCGCTTGATCGAGTCTGCGATCCGCCGGATTTGCTGGCAGTGGTATCAAGATCGATACCATGACGGCAAGATCTACACGGAACATCGCTATGCTCGACCCGTGCTTCCGGCCTCGTTGACGAGTCCTAATGCTCCGACTGTGTTGCCCTTCCACACCTTCACTGCTCCTCTTTCGGCGAAGCAGATTCGACAGATCTCTCAAAGAAATGGGCTCCGCATATCTGTCATGAGCATGCGCTCATCTTGGCCACCAACAGCTGTGTTACCTCCACCGGCACCTCCCCATCCCCATCTCAAAGTTGGCTACGTTTCGAGCGACTTCAATAACCACCCTCTGGCTCACCTGATGCAGTCAGTGTTCGGTCTTCACAACCCCCGACATGTTCGCGCCTTCTGCTATGCCACGACACCGTCCGATAATTCTGTGCATCGTCAACAGATCGAACGCGAGGCTCCGGTCTTCTACGACGCGTCATCCTGGAATGTTGAAAAGCTGGTGAAGAGAATTACTGAGGATGGCATTCACATCCTTGTCAACCTCAACGGCTACACCAGAGGAGCGCGGAACGAGGTCTTTGCCGCGCGGCCTGCTCCAGTTCAGATGTCGTTCATGGGCTTCGCAGGCACACTCGGCGCAGACTGGTGTGACTACATCTTAGCAGACGAAATCACGATTCCGTCCAGTACTCTATCTCCGTCCAGGCGAAACGTTACTCTGGAAGATCGGCTGCGGGCTGAGTCGTTGGCCGAAGATGAAGAAGACTGGGTGTATTCAGAGAACATCATCTTTGCCAAGGACACATTTTTCTGCTGCGACCATCGCCAGAGTGCACCAGATGCGAAGAACGGCCCACCACCTCGAGATGCCCGCAGCAGGCAACGAGCATGGGAAGATGAGCAAGCACGGCGATGGAAATTGAGGAAAGAGCTCTTTCCCGCTCTCAGCGACGATGCGATCATCCTCGGCAATTTCAACCAGCTGTACAAGGTTTGTCCACAGGGTTCTTCCCAATGATCTGCCAGGCCTCTAACAGTCTATGTTGTACAGATCGACCCCTCAACCTTCCGTCTCTACCTCCGCATCCTCAATGGCCTCCCCAACGCTATCCTTTGGCTCCTCCGCTTTCCAGACCTGGGCGAACAGCATCTCCTTGCCTTCGCGCGCCGGTGGGCTCCTCTCCACGTTGCATCCCGTATCGTTTTCACCGATGTTGCTCCCAAGGGCACCCATATCACGCGCGCCAGCGTTGTAGACCTGTTCCTAGACACTCCCGAATGCAACGCGCATACCACGGCGGCGGATGTAGTGTGGAGTGGAACACCCGTGCTAACGTGGGGGAAGTGGGCCTACAAGATGTGTTCAAGGATGGCAGGAAGTATTGTTAGTAGCGCGCTACCTGTTGGGCCGGAGGGGGATCGCGCCAGAGGGGAGCTGCTAGTGAAGAGTGAGATGGAGTATGAGCAGAGGGCGGTGGAGATGGGCCGAGGGTTACGATACTTTAAGGATACCCAACACGAGGGCGATGACCGGCGGGGGAGAGGTGAGGGCCGGTTGATGGACCTGAGACGCATGCTATGGGAGGGGAGATGGGAGAGTCGGTTGTTTGACACGAAGAGGTGGGTCCGCGATGTAGAGAGAGCTTATCAGCTTGCTTGGTCCCGCTGGGAGAGGGGCGAAGGCGGTGATATCTGGTTGGATTGAGATTCTCGACACACACACACACACACTCTCTCTACATGGGTTATGGTTGCAGCGAAGCCATGACGATTTTAGCGAAAAACTGGTTCAACTCGACAAAGTCGAGCTGATTTGCTACCACTCGGCTGAGAAGGAGAATCGTCCCCCATTCGAACCAGCTTGCTGGTGCCTCGCCCTTTCATTTTCTTCTTTTTGCTTGGGGACGGTGGCCTGGCCTATTTAGCAAGCGTAGCGTGGCGTTGCCCTGTTTTTATGTGGTTGTGCTGTGTTGTGTGCTGCGCGGTTTGAGCGAAAGGGGTTTCACCGGAGGATGCTAATGATGGAATGATTGCTTGGGATCTGGGTTTGCGATCTCAATCCGCTTTGGGGGGGATGGAGGGCGTATCTGCTTCTACGGTGAGAATGGAGATGGGATAGATAGAAGACATTAAGATGACACGATACGATATGATTGATAACGGTCATCGCTTCAGCCTGGCACCGTTTCTGCTTCCTTTTTCTGCTACCCCTTCGGTAGTACAATTTATCCTCAAGTGTGTTATTGCATGCATGTGGACGTCTCGTCGTCATCATCATCATCATCAGATGATTACCAGTCCCGAGTGCCTACCAAAATGAATAGCGTGCAAAAAAGCATGCTATGTATCATGATCCACAATCACTGCCAGCCGCCGCACCCAGACCATTCCGACCGAGTTATTCACTCGGCCACTCGTTAATCATTGGAGCTTTCTGGGCTTCAGCCAGCATGCTCCATAACCTCCAATCGTTAATGAGTGTAAGTGCTCCACAATTACCATTTTACACCATCTTATTTATCGAGATTGCCCGCTCCGAGAGTTAGGGCAACGTTTAGCCCGGTCGACGATCTGAACCGCGTGTGCCCACGTCAATCCCTCAGGGTCTGGGTTGTGATGGCCAGGCAACAGCAGGCAGCAACCGATCACGATACTTCCCTTTCGGGAAGGTCGGCGTGTAGTGCGTGTGCTTGGCTTTCGTATTCATGCGGGACTCTTGAACAGGGCGAAGAGGGGGTAGTAACTTAGTAGTGATTCCAGACAAAAAACATATAAGAACTTTGATTGAGTCCCCTTGGGCAGGCGTTTTTATGAAGTTGTTTTGTTCATACTGAAGCCATCATCATCATCGATTCTTCAGAGTGGGGGAAAAGAGGAGAGCGTGTGCACGTTTATCAATCACCCTACTTATCTCATATCTCCAACTTCAATAGTTCCTCCTTCTGCTTCTTTATAAGATACACACCAGTAAAAAAGGACAAGCCATGCCTCTCTCCCACTCCTCCTTGATAACGCCGTGTCTCTGGTTCGACCATGAAGGCGAAGAGGCGGCCAAGTTCTACACGAGCATCTTTCCCGATTCGGAGATTGGCCAGGTTTCTTATTACACCGAGGTTGGTTTTACCCTTTTTTCTTGGTGGGTTTTGGCTGTGCATTATGGGATTTATACGGCGGCGGGGGATATACCTGAAATCTCCCTTATCCTCCTTCGGTTACTACCTTTCTGTCGGAGGCTTTCTGTCCCTAAGTCTGGCGATGTGTCTCTGGTCATTATGTGTGAAATAAGACGTGGGATCCAGACGGGATGATACGGCCTATCCAGGTCTGATGATTGTGATATACGCACCAGTTCAGAGAGAGAAAGAGCTACGCAAGATCGCTCCATTGTCATACCAACGCATGAAAAGAGGCAATGGGGGCTGGCTAACAATAGCACCCCTCACGTACAGGCCGGACATGACCACCACCATCAACCCGCCGGCAAAGTCCTGACTGTCAACTTCACGCTCTCGGGGACCCCCTTCCTCGCCCTGAACGGCGGTAGTCCCGACCCAAACCCCGACTCTAACCTCAACTTCAAATTCACCGAAGCCATCTCCTTCCAGATCGACTGCAAGGACCAAGACGAAGTTGACTACTACTGGAGTAAGTTGCTGGAGGGAGGTGGAAAGGAAGGCCATTGTGGGTGGTTGAAGGATCGGTTTGGGGTAAGTTGGCAGGTTGTGCCAGTGCAGTTGAAGGAGTGGCTTGGCGGGAAAGGGAATGGGGAGGGGGGTAAGAGGGCAATGGAGAGGATGATGGGAATGGTGAAATTGAATATCGAGGGGTTGAGAAAGGCGTATGAGGGGACTGGGTGAGGCGGGTGAGGCGGGTGAGTGATAATCGTGATGAGATGTAGTGCGCGAGTATGGTTCAAGAGTGAAGGGCCGCTGGTGAGATCGGTAGCTGCGAGTTAGCTGTCTCCTTCGGAATGAAATCAGCTTTTTTCAGAGCATCCCGCTGTGTCGCCCATATGGGTTCACCTAGATCGATTAAGGTTGACCCAAACTCTGTCAAGACCTGTGAGATTTCTGAGCTGTTCGGTACTGGTCTTCCTTCTGGCGTTGGTGTTTCCTGATAAGCGAACGTGGCTTCTCTCCAATCACTTTTCCATCCCGTGACTGCAGAGATTGCTGTCGGGTGAATGGGATTGACATTAGTGGCAATGAGATAGAAGGAACTTCGCTGGGCGTGTTTCTTCTTTGGTTTGAAAAGTTGGATGTCGGCAAACTTGCTGAACTGAAAGAGCAATTTGATGGAGTCCCAAGCATCTACCTTGTGTAGGAGGATGATCATGGTGCCACCGGGCCGAATGCGCTGCAAGGCTAGGATCAATTGACTGCAAATCAATCGAAGGGCTTCGTTAGACTCTCGATAAGTAGCTCGTGCGTGCGTGCGTAGTACCTGGCCGTCGCAGAAGACCAGATCGAAAGACTTGTCTAGGTATGGGCGTTGGCCGGGCAAGAATTTGGAGTGATCTGGATGGTCTTCGGGGATGTCTTCGGTACAAAACTCTGACCATAGCATGGTTATGTCAAGTTCTATAGCTTGAACACGTTTGTCTCTGGATCCTCGCCTGATTAAGAGTGCATGACCGCCATCTTCTTTAGGGAGAGTTACGCCGGACACGTGAGCGCGGGGGCTATATTTCAGTGCCGAAGCTGAATATCCGCCAGGAGCCATGCAAAGATCAAGCACTTCAGGAGGTTTCTTTTGCAGAGTGAGAACACCGGTAGTAGCTTGGAGTTCATCGCCAATTCCCTGCATCATCTTGAAAAGGCGATAAGCATCTCTGTCGCTGGCTTGGTCTGCACGTTCGCGTTGGCGTTTGAAGTAGGTATCACCTTCTTCCTTGTTGGCCCAACCCTGGACGAATTTAATGTGACAGTTTTTCAATGAAAGATGGATATCTGAGGAAGAATTGCGGATGAATCCTCTGAACTCACCTTGTCTCTCAATTCGGCCAATTCGCGAAATGCCAGCGATCGCTCCGCTAGGAACTCCCTAAGCAGCCGTCTTAAGGACTCAATGCTAGTTTCATCATTGCTCTCCATCTCACTTTAATAAGCGATGTTACTTGCTTCTGCTAGGTACAGAAGGTGACATCTGATAAATTCTTTCTTGAACGAGATTTCTTGCTCTGGGTTTAACACAGTGAATAGGCTTCTTTAACCATCAAGTGTCCCCAAACCTCCAGTTAGTATAATATAAGATGTTGGAAATTATGCGACCCTCTTTATTATGATCTGTTGAACGCAAGAATACAGTTTGGCCCCAATTTGCTACCCGTTTCACATGCGTTTTGTTACAGACATATTACGCGTTCTTCCTGAGCCTTGCATGTATTTTTGGTATCTACGTTTCACGCTGTTTCGCTTGATATAATAACCTTGTACGTATAAATGCACTCTCTGCGCAGCCATTTAGATAGAACAATTTGCTATTTCAACATACTATTACAGATGAGTCAGCACAGTTTATCATGATCTCATACTGAGTCTGATAGTCTGAACTGTGGATGTGTCTAGAACGATATCCTACTGTCGTAGCTGCAGCGCCACATAGCATCACGAACTAGTACTACCAGACAGGATCCACAGGATGAATGTGTCTTGGTCCTGGTAGCAATGCTGATGTTGGATGGCGGATCCTCCATCTCCAACTTCGGCAGCGCTACACCCTCTCCACATTCCGTTTTATTTAACGAGCCAGCCCTGATCCATGCCCTACGATTCCATCCATATCAAAACAACAACGGCTTTGGTATGGGTCTTCGCGAATGACGCAATCGTCGTTAACAGGATGCAGACTGCGACGCATACAAGCCCAGACCATGACTCAAAAACACTTTCGAACATTGTAGGGAAAAGGCAGGAATTTAACTGAATAGACTCCATCAGGGTTTCGTGCTTAATTATCAAGGAATACTAGCAGGTCAAATGAGTGTGGTCTGGTGCCTGCTTCTGCATTCTGCACAGGATACCTATGAGCTCCGACTGATGTCCACCTGCCGCATTTGCCACGACAGTCACGGCCCCATTCCCACGACTCTCACAGTTCTATGCTCAACCTCAGCTTCAAGTCCTCCCTGACGCCCAAGGTAGGTAAAGCTACAAGCTGCCACTGCTGGTTCCAATCACCATCTTCGGGTAGGTAATGATTGGAACCTTATTTTCAGCCCCGTTACCTTGCAGATCGAGGACATTACCCGGATACTCGACGCTCTCAAATCTGTCGCCGATAGTCAGCTTGCTATATCATGCAACGAAGGTGTGCATAGTGAGGGAGAAACGCACGTTGCGTAATCGACTCCGTTGACTGTTTCAATGGTTCCAATCCAGCGAATACTGCCGTCTAGCTGGCAGAATTTCTTGGACGTTACACCGTTGGGGGCTGCAGACAGTGTCAGCACGCAACAGGACCGGGCGCGGCCTCTGATTTGCATTTCCTTCCGAATTTCACGTAGTGCACATACCTTCATTTGCGCTAATAGCCGTCCCCGTTCCATTGTTCAAGATGACATACTCATTGTTGTCCACTTGAGCTACAAGCCAGGTCTGATGGTCGTTCCACCCCTTAGAATTCCTGTCATTCTGGTTATGTAAGAAATTTTTGCCGATGGAATGAGAAAAACATCAAGGACGCACCAGCCGACGATAGGGGTCCCATCGGCTGCGCCCCCAAGATATAAGTCGATGACGGTACCAGTGGCACGACTTCTAAGTCCGTAGAATCCGGGCCCGTGCCAGCCCGACTCTTGAGTCTGTAGGCAAGCCGCATTTGTGCTCAGGCACAGACCAAGCAGTGATGGTAAGAGGGTTTTAGAGATATGCATACTGGCTTAGTCTTTACTAGAAGTGAGATTGGAAAGAAGAATTGATGACAAGTTTGAGCCAGATCTGGGGGGAATTGCTCAGAATTTATGTTCACCACTATAGATTCCGTAGATTACCGTCGGATCAACACCCTAATTTTACAAAGTCGGGTTGTCTCTCGTTCTGCAAGTGCTTCCATGATCTTGACTATGCTTCGTAGGCCCACAAATGTTGTGTTGATGCATAATATGCACATACTTAGCAGAAGCGGTTCCTGGGCGTACAGCGTCGGCAGGTCGCCGCGGAAAAGAAGGGACTGATGGTCGGAGATGTAGGATGAGGCGTATGATTTGACGAACTGAGCCAACCAAGAGAACTGCTTCTGTACCTAGCAATGTGATGCCCGCATCGCGTCCCCACCACACAATCAATCGATACAAGTTAGATGGAGAACTTACCAAGAAGTATTACGTAGTACCTGCGTTAGAACTCTTGGGTATTTCTCGGAAGGAAGTGCCGCGTGTGGACGACCAATCACATTTGCAATGCCCTACAGATGATCGTCTCCATCAGACACGCGCAATTGACGACATATGAGACGTTTAGGATGCCGACCTCAAAGCTAGTTGCAAAGTGTGTGCTCAAGGGAAAGGATTACCAGCCAAGAAGAAACCAGAACCTGCCGACTAACTAGTAGTAACATTGAACCTTTATGCGGTGCGACCCGTTCCGACTTCGCTCTTGAGCTTAAGTGGCGCCCGGCGACGGAATGGTGATATTGTACGTTGCAAAATTCTTGCGAATTCCTTGGCGCTAGCCTCGAATTGCTGGCGCCGCGGAGCAGATTGTGATGAGGGCAGAGGATGGCCATTTACCACCTAATTATCGTAGTAGAATGCCCAGAATGGCCTGGATGGTAAAATAGATTCTCTTGTGACTTTGCTGTCGTAATTGTGAATAGAAAATCATGGTGTTGAATTGTGAGAAGCGTTTGAATGTAAAGGGAACTTTATAACGTCTTTGTGACGCAAATAGAGATACTCTGAAGGAAGAGAATATCAAGGAGGAGGATATCCTCTTTCTTATTAATATTTCATCTAGTTATAACAAGTAATAAGGTCATTTCACTACAGTTGATATTAAAAAGTATAATTTGCTTACTACGAACTTAACACTAAACGCTAGCAGTTGATACAGGGCAAGTTACGGATGTTAATAAGGTCTATCAGCAATTTCTACGTGTTTTTCGTGCATGGGGACCTATTCTTATATCTCACCGCAATTCTGCCCCGTGGCGCCAGCAATTCGAGGGTTGCGCCAAGGATTTGCAAGAGTTTCGCAACGCATAATATACTTAGTACTACAGTATGTCCGACCGCGCTCGCGTGGACCTCAATTTGGCCGATTTCCTCAACAATCTGGAGTCCTATACAGCTCCTCAGATCTGGTAGTTATGGAATAAATTGCCAGCCGAGACGTGGTGCAACGCCGCATAATTGTGTGTACACTCATTGTTCAATGCCATCACAACTCGAATAAATGCATGTTGTTATGTGCGCCGAGCATGCCAAGCCCATGCCAAGCGTGTACCCTGCACACGCTATGAAGGCCAGGAGGGCTCTGGTAGATTGTACGTTGTTCTGTGCATCAAAGCACTCAAGAGGCTGGCCTACTACTTGTATCCTTCTTCTTGTACATAGATTCTAGTTCTTCGCGCTCAATAAGTCAATCCTCTGACCCCCTACTGTTCTATTGCCCTTGCACTCTCTTGGGATCCTAACACATGTACATTAGTTTCCACGCTGTGCTTCTTTCCAATAGGCAAGGAGCATTTTCTGTCACAACGAGCTACTGATGAAAGCGATCACCACCCGTACACTTCGAAATCACAACTCGGAAGAAGATCACGATATCCTGGCGGCCTGTGCATTTCAGACACCCTCGTCTCATCGCGTATCCCCTTCGTCCCCGCTGTGCCAATTAGCGTACTTGGCGTAAAATAAGCTTTTTTGAGCCGCATTCTATCGTCATGGCCCTCCGCAGTTGCTTTTTGTTTTGAATTTTCAGCCACCAACCATGCTACGACCACGTCGAGATACGCAAATTCCTCTGAGATACAGAGATAAATCACCTCCGCGACTCTTAAAAAACAGCAACCAGCGAAAAAGACGCAGAATTGACCCAGAAAAGGTTGATCGGAATAATGTCGATCAAGCCTTGGCAGTGATTGCACCTGCGCCAGAATGCGCAAATGAACCACCGAGACTCATTTCAACAGAACTCCCTCAGTTTAAGGCCAATTACGTTGAAAATCGAGATGGAGCTCCTCGATATACTGGTCTATCGGCATTGGGCTTTTTCAAGCTCTTCTTTAGTGATTTGGTGGTGGAAATCCTCTCTAAAGAGACCAATTATTACGCCGAATATCATCTTCGACATCCTTCATTTCCTTCTCTTTCTCTCCCGTCTGACTCTCACTGGGTACCTACTACACCGGCAGAGATACGGGTATTTCTGGGCATACACCTCCATTTTGGCTTGTACCAATTGAAAGTACGAACAGATTACTAGAAAATTCACAATCTTGGTCAACTTATGAGTCGAAATCGATTCGACCTCATTCATCGTTATTTCAGTACACATAGTGCTCCTCCTCCTCTAAACGCACCCTGGTTCTATCGAATTCAACGTGTAGCTGACCTCATTCGAACTGCTTATCAAGATGCTTATTATCCCTCCTCTTATATCGCTATTGACGAAGCTATAGTCGCCTTTTCAGGCTATTCAAGAGATATAATTAAGCTAAAGAACAAGTCTATTCATACAGGGTACAAACTATGGTATATTAGCGATCATAGTTATATCTAGAGCTGGCTATTTCACTCTCGAATAGAGGGCGTTGAAACGCTCGAAAAGGGTCAAAAAACGAGCTGGCCGCGCCTGCGCTCCGCAGGTCATACAGAAAGCGTCTCTTTAGCACCCACATTCACACTTGTTCTACGTCTAGCTAAACAGCTTCCGAAACAGCTCAAATTCTGCATCAATTTAGATAATCTCTTTCTAAATGTACCTGTTACGTAGTGCCTTTTAGCTATAGGGGTCTATTGCATGAGTACAACACGCAAAAAGGCTGATGGCTTTCCCTCTGATCTTCAGAGTTATTTTGATAACAATAACAAGCTGTTATAAGACTCTACTATAGCAGAAGTAGTAGATGACAACGTTATATGCTTTATTTGGCAAGATAATAAGGCTGTAGGCGCTATTTCGACTGCTCATAGTCTTGATAGACCTAAGGATAAAATTCAACGCCTACAGAGATGCCCAAAACTGACTTCTGAAAATGAACGTATTCTACACCCTGTTTTTAATGGTCAACCCTTTAAAAAGCTCTTTATACCAAAGACTATTGACGATTACAACCATTATATAAAGGGCGTAAACTAGGCTAATCAACTACGCGTAGGCTTTACGTGCTATAAAAAGAAGAATTATCAAATGTAGTAGCCCTTATTTTTCTTCCTTATTAATGTTGCTAATACTAACGCTTATTTGTTATAGAAATAGAGCAATAAGGAGCAAAATCATGATAGTCATAGGACATTTATAAGCGCCTTATACAACTATTTATTACATTTGAATAATCTGAAAAAGGAAAAGAAGGAGAAGAAGAAGAAGGAGAAGAAGAAGAAGGAGAAGAAACAATCTTATCCTCAACCCACAACAGTGTTTAAACGCCACTATAAACACATACAAATGAAAGAGCGTGGCCGGTGCGAATAGGGAAGACTCTATTCACCAGGCTGCCCACGCAAAAGAGCACCCAAGCGCAAATTTAGCGCAGATATTACAGAATTTACTCAAAATAGCGTTGCCAACGGTATTTTAGGTGGTTCTCACACGGCCTATATGTGTAGTAAATGTCAAATTTGGCTTTGTATCGAAGGGGAATGTTGGCAACGATATCATCACTCAATTGGAGTCAATTGCTAGATAGAATGGCCTCAATTCGCTCGAAACAGGTGTTTGTTGACATTTTGAATCCCTTATCAGTGATCGACAGCGCTAATTGGCACAATCTACATCCCTGTCCGGGGACGAAGGGGATAGTATACAACTTATACACGGGTAAGTGTTCAAACTCCATCGGGCCAATCCATCCTTCGAAAGGACAGCTCCGGCTGTCCCTCCCTGCCCGTTACAAGAACGATGTCCTTCAAGATGCGCACGTTTCCATCTCGCCTTTTCTGCTCCTGTCCCTGCCCCTGTCCCCCTCCGTCACCGGGGTCCATCTTTAATATCGCAGGTCGAAATCTAGATTGTAAACACGTTACAAGTAACTCTCTTTCCTCACGCCATGATTCAATGTATGGGTCCTTGGAAATGTACAACGATGCGAGGTGCACCAGGGCGATAACCGCATATATAAGCAATACACCAATGGAGATCAGCATGGACGTAGACAGTCCAGACGTGGTGTAAAGCCCATAGCTGTAGCCTGTCATAGACGTTTTCAGGAGAAATTCTGTTCGATTCGTTGCTGATGTCCTTGCCGCCGCTGCCATATCATTTTGGCTCAAATCTCCACGAATCTTAAGAAATAGATCTTTGCTGGAAATGGAGAGGGGTACGGTGCTCGAGCCGATGTGGGCCATCTTCTCCGCGAAGAGCACAGATAAGACTGTCTCCAACTTCACAGGCACGTTTTTAGTAGCCTCTCCTAGGTGCATAAACTCTTCAAATGCTGTCGTGTTTGTTTGAGATCCTGCTAGGCTCTCGACCGACTGCTGCGCCCATTGAGAGTCTATTGTGACTGTTTGTCTCTTATACTCTTGGTCGATGAGCGTCAAAGAATCCAACGCTGGAATCATGCTGTCGATGATATAGTAGGTACCTGTATAGCTCGTCGAACTATTTGATTCCGCCCATTGTGCTTGGATCGTGCAGGCAAAATCTTGAGTATTTGTAGCTGTCCCAAGCCTGATGACGGCGCCAATGGAGGCATGTAGTGATGGTGAACTATCAAATGGGACCCAGCGAAATTGCGGTTGTGTCTCATCTTCGAAATCATCGTTGAAAGAGATGGGCGGCATCTTTAGTGAAGTTGGGGCGTATCTGATAGCAGGAAATTCAACCGAGGACGTGTTGAGTTGTTTCTCCCAGCAAGCCGTTGAAACGGCTGGTTGCATAGCGCTCACAAACCAGGACACGTCTTTGTATGAGCATTGAGCCGGGCTCCATGTTCTCTTACACCTGGCAGATTGTGACGGGAAAGTCAAGAATCGGAAATGATTAACCATGTCCCCGATAACAGCGTGCTGAACCGAGGCGACAGTAAAATTTGGTTCTGAGGGCCCTACAGAGCCTTTGACTCGGATGTTCATGGATCGTAGCGACGAGATGCCCGGTACATTTATATGCTGAGGGGACGCCGCGGCTACACCTGTGGTTGTGTGTCCCCAGTATGAGAACAAGTTGGCTGCAATTGAATCCCAGACCATAGAATTTAAACATCCTAGGCTGGAATGGTTGCAGATTGAAGGATCTGAAGGAATTGCTTGAAGACTTGAAGGCCATAATAAGTCGCTGCTGGTATTAAGTGTCATAACAGCCTCTCCAGCAGGCCAGACACCAAGCCTTGGGATCAACGCTGTTGCCGATGACGGTCTGAGAGTAACCCCAAGCATGGTACATACCAACAGTAGCGGAACAAGCAGCGACCGACGAGGGTATCTGGCAGCACACGTTGCCCGGAGATCTCGTGACCAGAGATAAGACAGGCCCTTGAACTTTGGAACAGCCGTGAGGGACCCGAACGGCAGTTCATGTCCAATAGCCAAGCTCTTCAGCAGCTGGGTAAGCAGTGCTTCGCTAAGTGATGCCAACATAAGCAAGTCATGGACTTTCGTCGTCAACTGCAATGCCAATAACTTTGGTGCATTCTCATTGTAGGTTCCAGAAAGCTCCTTGCCTATCCAGTAACCGTAGAGGTTGAACCACGTGATCACGCCAACTGCTCCAACTGGTACCAAATGGACGAGAACGATGTAGCACGATGGTCTTTGGGTCGCTTTGAAGGGCAAACCATTTTCGACAGGCTTGCTGCTGAGCAAGGTCTTCAAAGATCGCCAAGTTTTGAGAGGTTTGGTGTCGGTACTGGAGACACTGAGATGTGACTTGGTAGTGCTCGTTGGGCCTTTGGAGGCCAATGTTCGCGAGCTCTCGGCTTTAAGCTTATGCCGTTGCAAGGATTGCATAAACCTCCGATATAAGGACCCAAAATTCATTTCACCCCTTTAAACAACAACAATCACATCAACTGCACCATGTCGGGAATACCAGAGGATTCAGCTCCGATTTATGTTGGTAGAGGATGCCTGGGCACCGCAGCAGTTGGAAACGGACTGCGTTGACCCCTGTCGGTCCTTGTTGGGGCCATGTTCACATACCATTTTCCCTTCTCATGCTTATGAACCGGTGTCAGATTATGGACGCCAATGAATGACTGAGCATTAAAGTTGAGATGGTAGTAGGCGGTTACGCGTTATGTGCTGTTCCTTAGCTTGGAGACTGGCCTTCCGCGCAACAAAGCGTTTTCTAATGGGACATTCAATTCGTAATTACTCCGTAGTGTTCAAGGAAATCAGCGGACACGCCCGTGTCTCAAGAGGGTGTCTCAAGAGGGTGTCTTAAAGCGATCTTCAGAATGGATTTGAAAATCCAATGAATTGACCTTAAGCCTGTAATAGTCCGCCGTAGACTCCAAATGGTACTCGTTCTTGCGATGCTGGAGATCTAATGAGTGGCTTGGTAGGCTAGGCAGAACTTTGTATTACATGTCGACAATACTTTCAATGTAAGGAGTAGAGAAGTGTCAAGTTTTCTGAAATTGCCTTTGCAATCCTAGCAGGCCCGATGACTTCAGTATGATTGTCAAACATTGACCAAATGCTCTTGTCGGACCGTATAAGCGCTCATTGGTTGGAAGTTCTACGTCTTGCATTTTGCCTGCTTTTGATTGGTCAATTTCTACTCCTAATTTCGCTGCGCCACATGGCAAATTGTACTTATGTAGTACTACGGCTACAGGCCTAATTTTTCTACCCCCCCTGCTGAAAAGATTAGTATTAGTACAAAACGTACTAGATAGAATTAGGTATAGATGCCTGACAAGTGGCCTAGATAGGACTAGTCTCCGAAATCAAGTTTTTACATTCCATTGGCATCTGTAACTGCTTGACATTGTGTCTACACTACTAAAGCAGCTTCTTAAGAGATAGTCAAAAGATACAGCATCCTATGAAGCATCTAATAGCGCCGTCATATCATCATGCTCATTGATATTTATACAGAATTAGTAGAATGCGTACAGAGTGATATGAGTAGTATTTGCATGATGAGCAAAATTCGTGCAAAATAGTAACAGGGATGCTGACAGGGTGGGGCGTGTAAAAAACATGTTTGTAAGATATTTTGACCAGGGGGGGGGGTAGAAAAATTAGGCCTGTAGCCGTAGTATATCTGCGCGCGCTGCGCCCTATTTTGAGAGAGAACAGAGCCGCTTCTTCATCCAGCTCGACACATAACCGTCCGCATTATCTAAGGTTGTCTCAGGTAGAATTTACGACTATCGCAATATACCACATTTTCCTCATACCTTTCCCATTAATATCTCCACTCTTGCCTGCCCTCTAGGGATAAACCCAGATGTGTGTGATGCGAATTTTCTTTCTAGCCTCAGCCCTCTTTGGACAAAGCCCCATACTGTGCTTCAAATGCGAATAGATGTTCAAGATAAAAAGGCCTTTGAGGTGGCCAATATGCAAGCACATTGTCAGATCTTCAAGAAACTGCAAAGCATCGACTCATCCACCTTGCTCATGACGCCTGCTACAGCTGTCTGGCCAAACACGCTGTTGAGCTGGATGAGCAAGTCCACGGTATGTGGAACTGAAGTACGAGATGAGACTGCTCAAGGCGGGACAAGGTACGAGGTTTTCCTGAGGGCATCCCGTAAAGGCCACCACACCATGGGATGGCTTCCCCGAGACAATGCACAGAACATCCGCAACGAGAACTTCATCACCAGATAACCGTGCAAAGCATACGACCACCAGCTTTTGCCAGAATCCCAGATGCAGATGATAATCCTGCCATACGTACAACTTTGCGAGACATGAGCAATGACCAAGTTCTTGAAGGCGACACATTGGATGTGGACGCAAATGACCGACCGCGAATACACTACCTGGTTGGTTGAGATACTGGACCAATGCAGACCCGCATAGCAACTACAGATCCAATACAGCGCCTTTTTTCCATCGGCAGATGAAAGCAGCAAGATTTAGAGGCACTGCTCTGAGAGTGACGCATCAATCCATAAGGAGATCAAATTGGCGCAGTATCTTGCTTTATTCAGGATCTTCCAAACAGCACTCTTACTTCTTGCGTCCAACTGGAGGAACATCCGATGATATGTTTCCTGTTCTCATCTGGTGAAGTCAGGAAATCCATCTTTCCATAGGCCGGCCATTACCCGTCGTTGGCCGCTTACTGATGCGCCGCAGATATCCACTGGGTGATGCATAGCCTCTACCCCTCGAGTTTTACTGTCTATTGGATCTTTCACCTGGGGTACTCGGGTCGGGGTCGGGGTTGTGCCGTGCTACTATGTACAATGTACTACGAGCCCAAGCTGAAGCTAATTGTGTCACTGCTGTGAGTTGGTGTTCTCCCTGCTCATCTTATGATGATATATTGCCATTTCAATCCTGTACAGGGTTATTTATAACAGGGATGGATATCTATCTATATCTCACACGTATTCCGCTATCCGATACGCCGTACACTTGAGTTCTATATTATAGACTTCCACCGCTAAGAAGCTAGAACTGTTGCACGCCATTCTCAAAACCGACGGCCTTTGTTCTACCACGACTCAGCTATACGCAGCATCCACCACCACCTTCTCCCCCTTCCTCGTCTCCCAAATCTCATTCCCATCCCTATCAAAGACCATCTCAACATGCTCACCCCTCGCTCTGAACACCACGCGTGCCTTGAGCGGCTCAAACGTCTCGATGCCGGTGCTCGTATTCCTCAACGCCTCTACCCCACTCACATCGCTACGCAGTGCCAGCGCCAACAGCTCGGTCATGTTCTCCCATGCGCTCATATGCCATCTGGAGAAAAAGATCGTGTAGAAGATGTAAGATGTGGCAATGCTGGCGTACACGAGGAGGATGAGAACGGAAGCGAGAGTGGAGGTTGCGATTCCAGAGGCTGTGCGGAGGCCAAAGGCATAACCGGTCACGGTGGTCTGGAATGAGAAACGATGATAGGAGGGCGAGGCCGCTGGAGGAGTGAAGATGTGGCCCCCGTTGGGTCTCAGCAATTGATACCTATCGATCATGTTACCTTGGATTGTTGCCGTGCTACTGATATCGGCCATGCGGATTGCTAGGAGTACAGCGAGTGCGGCCTCGATCTTCTCCGCTGAGTACTGGGTTGGGTTTGACGAGTCCGCTGCGGCAAAAAGCTTGTCGAAGGGAGTGGTAGCATTCTGGGCAGGGATGGTGAGAGACGGGTTAGCCAATTCAGCCCAGGCTGGACTGATGCTAACGCGCCGGCCTTGGTACTTGTTGTGGGGTTGCTCCCGCAAGTAGAACTCAGTCGGTTCGCCATTGACCATGTAAGGCAGGTTAAGAAACGAAGATTGGACGGTGGCGTTCGCCCACTGTGCGTCAATACTGCAAGCGAAAATCTCGTCGCCGCTGGACGTTTTGTCGTAAGGCGCTTTGACAAATGCGCCGACGGAGGTCTTGGTGAATGCTGGGCCTGTAAGGTTAACCCATTTGATGGATGATGTAGATGCAGATCCAATATCAGAAGTATTTTCGGCATGACTGACAAGATCTGATCTGGTGCTTCCAGGTGTAAGCGTTGAGAACAGGGGCGCGTTTGTTGAATTGCCACTCTGGCAAACGACGTAGACAACTGGCTGCTCCGCCGGTACCGAAAAAGTGACATCTCTATAAGAACAAAAATCCCATCCTTTACGATTTCCAGAATAGCATCTTGTATTTGCTTGCAGCCATATTTGACGGATTTCATTCACCGCATCAGCAATGGCAGCTGGCTGGATCGTTGCAGCCGTCATTTCAGGCTGATAAAGGGTCATGGGACCGCGGAAGCGCGCACTGAGCGTCCTTACGGAAGCGCGTCCTGGGATCTGCACACTTTCAGGCATTCCATGGATGCCTTCAAGCGTCTCATGGCCCCAGTACTTGAAGAAGTTGTCGGCCAAGGTGTTCCATGTGGTTGAGCTGCCGCATGTCTCCAGCGATGTGCAAGTTTCATTTCCTGCCAAGGAAGGCGATAGGGTTGAGGGCCATAGATCTTCAGCAGTCGCGTTAAGCCAGAAGGACGTTCCACCTCCTGGCCAGTCTCCCAATGTCGGTCTCACCGCAGTGGCTGAAGCCGGCCCAACGGTCACGCCGAGACCAGTGAAAATAACAATGACAGAAAGGACAAGGAACTTGTTAGGGAAAGTGGTGACACAAGCCGCAAGAAACTCAGCAGACCAGAGATAGGATATCTGCTGGAACCGGTGTCCGGCAGTAACTGCTCCAAAAGGTAGTCCATCCCCAAAAACGAGCTGTCCGATTGTGATCGAAAAAACTATATGGCTGAGGGATGCCAACATCAATAACTCGTGCATCTTGGCTACCAACTGTAATGCCAGAAGCTTCTCGGCATCTTTCCCTCTTTGCCCTGTAAGCTCGCTGCCAACCCAGAGGCCCTGAAAGTTCAGAGCCGCGATTGTTACCGCCACCGTTACTGCGAGCAGATGGACAGTGATCGTAAAGCCTGATGAAAAGGAGATTTTGCTGACGGGCACTTTCTTTTTCTCAGGAACCTTTCTTCCTTGAATTGCCTGCCACAACTGCACAGCTCGAGAAAACATTGTGTTTCGAGATAGTGTCGTCAGCTGGGAGGCCTTCTGGTACCCTATATCCTTGTTGTCCATTGTTACTGGAAGACATGTCGAGCTGGATTGGATTCTTTCCGGTTCCATCAGAACTGACGGCTCGAAGAATGATTGCTATATTTCGGAATGTGTTTTAAAAGGGTTCTCGCTCAAATCAAAGTTATATGCTCGAAGCAAACAAATGAACAGCTTGAAACCGTGGGAAGCCTATCTGAGATCTTGAAAGAGAAGACTCACGATCCGTCTGAGCCCTTAGATGGACCTCTGATGGATCAGACTGCGGCATAGCTAGCACTCAATGCGAAGCAAGTCCTTGAGGGTAGCAGGCATGTTGAGAGAGAAGTGCATTTCTCACTGTCTACAGATAGGCAGCTCTGGCTGCGCCTCGATCAGCATAACGAAGTGGAGTAATTGAAGCTCTGGACCCCAAGGACGCTGCAATTAGATACACAAAGCGGTCAGCATACTTGGGGTGGAAGTGTCGGAATACCTGAAACTTGATTGTGCTCTGCTACTGGTGTGCCTGGTGGCGCCGAGATGATGGCTTAGCGGGCCGGCGCTTGGGAACGGGGAAGCCTTCCCCTTGCTCTATAGCCCAGCCTTAATGTACTACATGAGTTAGTACAGTACTAGGTCAAAAGTCTCCGTTCAACCCCACTTTTGCATCAAAAGACATACTTTTCAACTCAAACTAACTATTTTTCCTAGGTAATAAACTATTTAAAAAATATTATTAGGTTGTTCTAAAATAGTAAAAAATAAATTATATATAAAAACTTTTTATCTGGATACCATATAGAAGAGAGAGATAGGAGATAAAGTAGATCCAAAAATTTTAGAGAAATTTTTTGGTGGGGTTGTCATACAAATTTTATTAAAAATAAAATATAATAACTTGATCATTAACTAACTCTTGACTAAGTAGATTAATAATTAAATAATATATAAGAAAAAGTTTTATCTATCAAATTTCTACCTAGATATAAAATTTCAAGTAGTCATGAGCTGTTTTGGTCAAGAAATAGATATTTCAAAGAAACCACTTTACGCGTAAAACACGAGATCAACGGAGACTTTTGACCGGGTACTGTACATGGGAGGTGCCCTGCCCGTGGAGACTTGTGTTGCTGAACGGAAATTCGGTATTAGTACTACGTAGATTGCTGCACATTGAACTCAAAAAGGATCCACCATGAAAGTACTGCAACTTGTGACAGCCTGTAGGTAATGCTGGCTTAGCAGTATTCCTCGTAAACCCACAGTACTTGCTTGATATCCTGTTTTCCCTGGCTGTTGACCAATTCATATGATGCTTCGGGTATCGATTGTCCACTGGTGAGCTCTATAACATCGGGGCTCGACTAGATGTAACCGCGCTAATGGCTGAACGCGCACACCTACATCAGATCAGGTGCCCAACTTTGAACGGCCGAGATTGGTACATCAAGCTGCAGCTTCTTCCGTTGTCATACAGCTCCCTTGTTAGAGTCAGCGCCTACTGCCGCAGGATTGCTTTGTGGGTGGCTCATATGTAAGCTGACGGAGTTGAGAAAAGGAGAGCATTCTTACGTGAATTCTTTGCCTACAAATGCATTCTCGACACTTACGACTCGCTGTACTCTGCTGCGCAAGAGAGCTGATCTCCAGCATGTGGAAATTCGTGCCCTCTGGTTTCTACGGCTCGCAACTTGCAATCACGTATATGCTTGAGCTTCCCAAAGTTTACGAATGCATAAACAAGCCAATCTAGTCCCTGCATTCTTCTCTAGGGCGAGAAAGTACAATAAGGAGAAGGCAGACATGGCTACCGCTGAGCTCGGATCGAATGCTGTCGAAACGATTGATTACAAAAATGGTAACCCTGATCAACACTTGGAGTAAAATCGATCCATCATTCTGGCCTCGGTGAGCATTCGCTGTCCAAGCGCGCATTGCCGTCACCCCTATTCAAGGCTTACGACACCGACCTAAATTAGGCCTGGGCGGAAGATCTACACTGGCTTTGGCGCTCTCGCACCACGTTGTGACACGAGATGCTTCTGCTAAAGGACTATAATATTTATTACTTAGCTTAAAGTAACATTAGAAAGCTAATTATTATAACCTTAGACTATTAACTCTAAGAGAAGAGACGACCTAAAGAAGAGGTATAGCTCCACTAAAACTGACCGACCTCAACGCCTGCTTTGGGTCGCCCCCGTGGCCGCTTAGTATCAGCCAACTCAGGGCCCGGCTTAACTTCGGCTCTACCTTAATCAGGCTGCACCGCCACGGCTCAGGCTATATCCCTAGTGAGCTCTCTTACGGTGTCAAGAAGTCTGCTCAGGGATGTGACAAGGTCCAATATCATATTGACTTGATCAAGAAGTCGGGGGAGCTAGGAGGAGACGGGGAAAGCATATGGTGCCCTGGTCGAGGAATTGCCGAAAGAATCTACGAGGGAATAGATTTCAGGGAACAGAACTCCAGGTAGAATCCCCGTTGATCGAACAAGAAGCGGAGTATGCCAAACCATATCGAAACAAACTTATTCTTGTTTGTGATTCTCGCCATTTAGGCATTGTCTAGGTCAGCGTTCTCTTGGGCTTTTCGAGGCTGAGGGGAAAATGTAGTACCTGTCGACGCACACTCCTGTATCATTCATAATGAAACACGAGGGTAGGTTCCTTTGCTCATTCAACCTGACCTGGAGTGACAGTTTCGTTTCTCGCTCATCCGTGCTAGGACCCTGACTAGTCTTTGCACCTGTCTGAGCAAGAAGCTGCGGGAAGACCTTGCCTCGCTCTGCTTCGACGAGTCCGTCGAAGTCGACTTGTTGCATCGATCGAGCAACTCGGCTCAATGCTTCGCGTGTGAAGTATAGCGACACTTTCTGCATGATGAGTGCCCTCCTTAGTGCTATGTGTCGCCGCTCATCCGGCGAAATGTCGTATCCTTCGTTTACGGCGTACGTGTCGATGCCTTCGGCTTGGTTTTCATCTTCATCTTCATCGCTTTCACTTTCTTGCATGCTAAGTGCCATCCTTAGTGCTATGTGTCGAAGCTCATCTGGCGAAAGGTTGTATCCTTCATCGAAAAGTACGGCGTCAATGTCGGTATCTTCGGTTTGGATTTCACCTCCATCGCTTTCGCTTTCCCCCGGATCAAAGTCGTCTCCATCTGCTAGGCGGACTGCGTCAGTGGCTTGAGTTAACAGATCTGTCGGTGTCCAACCACGATAATGGTCTGCTTTGTTCATATCCCCGCCGTGTTGCAGCATCAGGTTAATAATATCAAAATTCGCTTCGTTGCAGGCATTGTGCAGCGGCGTCCATCCCAAAACCGTGTCTGCGAGGGTAGGTGACGACCCATGCTCAAGCAAGGTCCGACAGCATTCGAGACTGTATGAAACAGCCATATGCAGCATAGACCAGCCATTGGCGTCTTGGCGGTCAATCCACTCTTCCGGGCATAGCGAAAGCCACTCAGAGAATATGGAGTGAAAGACTGCCTCGTCTTCTGCGCACTTCTGAATGCATGTATGCAAGCAGGTCCATCCCCGGCAATCTTCATCCAGCAAGATGCGTTGTAGGCCTTCGCCAGACTTGTTTCGTATAGCTCCTTGGAACATGCGCACAATGTCGACGTGTGACTTTTGGAGAGCGACGTGCATACAATTCTGCCCGTTCTCATCACGAGCATCGATTAGCGCTCCGGCGTCGAGTAAATGGGCGCACCTCGTCATTGAGCCTTCTTTGGCCGCCACGCCAAGTGCAGTTTCCCCCATATGATTTTTCAGTTCGACATCGGCTCCGTGTCTTAGACAGAAGTCAATGACATCCCTCTGCTGATCGAACGCCTTGTGTAATGCTGTATTTTTGAGGAAGTCTGTGGTATTGATATTTGCTCTTGGAACGTGCTCCATAAGCACCGTTGCAGCCACGAGATCGCGTCCATTTTCCAATGCATACATGAGTGGTGTGTTGCCGTGATAGTCTTGTGCCTCAAGATCAGCCCCGAAACGCAGCAAGATCGTAATGCAGAATCTTTGCAAGCCTGGTAAATACTCCTCCCTTACTTGCGTCTTGTCCAAAGGCCACCGTCGAAAAAGTTCTGGAGAATCCTCGTCTAAGCCAGACGATGCGTGAAAGTAGTTACCACATGCTAGATGCAGAGGCGTTCGGCCATCAGGCAGAGGTACTCTGATATCAGCAGAAGCCCCGAAGGCTAACACCGCCACGAGCATTAAGGCGTTGTAAGTAGTAGCCGCTAAAAGAGCAGGCGCGAAGAATGTCGTGGCAGATGCAAACTCAGGCGGACATGAAGTGTTTGGATCAATTCCCAGGCTCAATATGGTGCAAAAGCTGCTCCAATTGTTGCTGACCATGGCCGGGAGCAGCGAGAAGAATGACCATCGTTCAAGAAGACTCATGCTTGACCCCGTGGATTTCTCAGCTGTCGTGCCTTGCACAAAATTCGCATGCAGAATTTGAACGATTTCTAGACTGAGGTCAGACAACATGAAGAAATTAGCCTCGCATCGGCTGGACTTACCTCCTTCTCCTGACGAGGCAGTGTCCATTGCAGCGTCATCTACACGAATTCCTCCCACTTTGTCGGAAAACAGCAGCACCCGAACGACTTGTGTCTTACTCAACCTGAGTGCAAGGGCTAGTGGTGTCAGACCATCCTCGTCACGCGCTCTCGCATCTGCTCCAAATTCATGGATGAGAGAGTAGACTAGGCCCGCCCTTCCATGGGCCACCGCGTAGTGCAACAGATGATTGATGGGGACGAGCTGGTTATCTGTCTTCTCGTGGAGGATGATGATTCGACGTAAATCTTCCACATCATCGTTCTCGATGGCTTGAAACGCTTCTGGGAATTTCCTGTTTCTTTTGAATATCTCGGCTCTTCTCTCCTCCGAAATGTAGGCAGCCGTCCGAACGAAGGAGGTTTCCAAAGCCTGCTGCAGCGCTGCTTCTGAAATGGCTGGCTCACAAAGGACTTGATTCCTCAGGACCGTGATGGACTGTAAGTCTTTTTGGACCTTTCCTTCCGCGCCCTCAGGGATAAACTCAACCAGCAATACCTGCAACATAAGATTGCAGTGCTGTTCCAGACCGAGCCTTTCGCGGGAGCGATGGAAACCGGCAATCTGTAGGAATGACTTCGCTGCGTCCGCATCCCCTTGTTCGGCCGCCTTTTGGTACCACTCGAGGGCTTTTTCGGTGCTTCGCTGAACACCGAAGCCAGTACTGTAGCAATTGGCCACGAACTTTTGCTTGAGAACAACATTTGGCGCTCGGTCCTGATGTACTCTTTCCCAAGTATTCTGAAATATTGCCCTTTGGAATGGTTCGGGGACATAAGAGCTTTGAAGGCTGTCCAGCTGTTTAGGCGTTTAGCAAATACCACTATGGCATAGCTACACTCCTACCGTGGTGAGTTCCGGGGTTCGTTCGTACTGTTGCAAGGAGCCCCAATGGTCCATTGTATGGTCGATTGTCAAATGATAGAGAGAGTCAAGTGGGGCCCTTTAAGAATGATTTTAGCCGTTAGACTCTCAACACAATCTACACTTACTCAGATAACAGTCTGAGCCGGGCGCTGGGTTCTCCAAATCGCTGCCATTCGGCATCCCACATCCTAGATTGCAAAGTCTGTTTCGCGATCTCCAGCCATGAGCTTTGGATACTGTCAGATCACGCGTAGGAGCTGCTAGAAGTCATTACCTGCTTGTCAGCCGATCAAGATATAAGTCGAAACTGAACCGCCTGGCGTCTGGATCACGAACGAGGACCCACTGTACAAGAAACCGAATGACAAGTTCGTGGCCTGTCTTCAGCAACTCGTCAGCCGGGAAATGTGACATGAACATCTCGTCAAGGTGTTGCTTCATGAGATCCTCGTTCTTAGCTACAGTTATCGCTTCCTCATCGCCTCTGAAGGGAATCCGTCCAAATAGCACGAATCTACTCTAGTCAATAAATTCACATGTTCCGGAATAGCAAATTTTCTCACAAACCAATGAGGCCGTACGAATAGTAGTCCCTAGTATCCTTAAGACGCTGGATGCTAGCGTCAGGGGAGGCATGAGGAAGACACTCTGGAGGGCTCCAAAAAGCGGTGCCACCCCTCAACGCTTCCACCCTGTTATCGCTCACAATGCAGAAGCCGAAATCAGATATTTTGGCAGAGAGGCCATCCTGCGCCTCGAAAAGCAGTACGTTGCTTGGTTTCATGTCACCGTGTACAACGCCGAGCGCATGTAAAGCACGAAGACCAGAAGCTACATGGTGTAATAGCCGAGCCATTTCTTCTCCGGAAAGGCGGCCAGATGTTTCCGTTAGGACGTGACTCTCTAATGTCAATGGCATATTGAGGCGAAGACTTGCCCTCTCAACGATCAGAACCGGTGTCGTGATCAGGTCATGCAAGAGGGAGCTCTGCTGTTGCTTCCAGGTGATTCCACGAAGTCGTACGATATTTGGATGACTCTTGAGGAGCTCATGCGACATCAGACGAAGTTCTAAAAGAAGGATCAGTCCTCATATCGAATTTCTGGTCAAAGCCGCACACCCATGGTGAAAGATGCCATTTTTGTCCTATAGTCTTTTGCAGACTCGTCCTGCGATGACATGCTGTAGGCTACATCCAGGTTCAGTTGCCTGCATGTCCGTAAGCGAAACTCCGTGATCATACTAGATCTCAAAATCGCACTTAAGAGCAACAATTCGAGATTTTGAATCCTCTGATGTCCAACGGCCGCTATACACGCTCATAGTCCACCCACTGCCGAGGAAATCGCCCCATTCCACCGACAATGGATCTATGATTGGAAGTCGACTGTCAGCAAGATAATGGACAAAGCTCCGGTAGTCGAGCGGGACATGGCTGAAGTGCGAGATAGACCGCCGAGCATCTGACAGAAGTTTTCGAGCGAAGACAACAGGTTCAACAGTGACTTCCCCAGCATAGCCCTGCTGGCTGGACGAAAGGGAATTTACCAAATCAAGTCCGCTGTCTACACGACGCTCAAGGTCTCTCATCAGAGAGTCTAGCGACATCCTGAATGCTGCTCAATGACATTGGATGCACTTCGAAGATCTTCGTGAGTTTTTGAAAGAGCAAATTCATTGCCCTGCCCTCACATAAGGCTGCAGGCAGACATACAACTACTGCCCAACAAGCCCACGTGATGCTGGGCGCGCTAGTACAGTAACTCACCCTGACCACGAACCGCAGGTAGAAATCGTCTCTTTTGTCTCCATATTGCTGTGCACGATACAATCCTGGTTATGTTAACCCCTGAATTTGACTTTAATCGACCGCAGCAATGCCTAGTGGGTTCGTTGTTCTCGGAGCCATCTCAGCGTCCTGGGGTCTGTTCAAAGATATTGTGTCCTTTCTTCGGCGCGTATACGATGGCAAGTCAGAAATCCCTGCCGTTCTGCTTCGCTTTGAAAATGATTGCTGTCTGATGGCAGCGCTGGAGGCATTCTTTACAGAGACAGTGCTCCGTTCGCTGCGCGATGACGACCTAGACCACCTGCAGCGAGTATTCTCCTACCTCCTACCGAAATTGCAAAATGTGGCAGTCCGTCTTCGGCGCATTGGTGGTGCCAATCTGTGGGATCAGGCAAAGTGGGTAGCCGTAGGTAAGAGTTTAAAATCAGCAGAAGAAGATATCTATGAATGGGTTCAGCGATTGCAATACCCCCTGATGCTATTACCGGCTTCCTCAAAGAGAAGCTTGCTTGAAACCGTTGGCGGTAGTTCTGATCAAGCTTCAAAGATGATAAATATGGTGGGTACACAGTCCAAAATCGAAGCGAGAGTGGCGGACTTCCACCGAGCTGGGAAGGAGGTGAACGCGGCAGACGTCACCAAATTTAAGCTCGTCAAGGGACCAGTATTGTCCCTGGTGCCAGCGAAAGGGCCGCAAATTATCTCGAGGGACGGCACTGAACAGGTCGTGGAGTTCAAAAGGATCACCTCAAGCGCTGCAAACGATCCTAGAGTTATAGATGAAGTCGAAAAGGAAGTCACCAAGCTTACAAGCTTATTTTCACAACTTACCGATGATCAGGCCTTCCTTTTGCGTCCGATGAACTTCTTCCGCTCCAAGCTGATACCCACAGCCCCTTTTGGCATCCTGTACCAAGTACCTTCGACACACAAATTCCCCGTGACCTTGGCCGAGGTTATATCCAAAACCAAGCCGGATGGCTCTCGCATCTTGGAACATTCCCTTGATCAGCGTTTTGAACTTGCTCGTCAGGTCGCTACCGCAGTACTCTTTGTCCACTCCACAAGATGGCTCCACAAGGGCATTTGTGCATCGAATGTAATTCTCTTATATCGAATCGGACACCATCCTGCCCAACGATCTCCCATCTGCCTGGGCACAGCTTTCCTTGTTGGCTTTGACTTTTCCAGGTGCGACGTAAGCCGATCCACGGGCGACGAGACAAGCGGCTCGGACTGGGGCAGGCAGATCTATCAACATCCGGCACGTGCCGGAGACACGGCTCAAGGCTACCAGCCTTTCCTGCAGGAACACGATATCTATGCATTAGGCGCTTTACTTGTTGAGATTGGTCGGTGGAAAGCATTGAGGGCTTACCCTAACCTGTTCAAGAATGTCACGCCGGAGAAGAGGAAAACGGCACTTGAAGATATGGCGCGTGGCCTGTCGACGAGCCTCGGGCAAAAGTATGTCGACATCACTCTTCGGTGTCTTCAGGTCCTTGACCAGACACAGTCAGATCAGCGGTCAAATCCACCTGTTCTGGACGTTGTTCATGGCCTCCAGGACCTTGTGGTAGCAACAAGATAGCTCACGCAAAACATATTGAGCTGTTCATCCGTAGTGTTCCAGTCTGCTGATCGGTGCTTGTATCGGTTAGCTCACATTTCTAAGGCCTCCGCTTCCGACGAATGGCTGAAAAGTGTCACCACGTGTCACCCCTTTGCTCTTCGTCAATCCTGTTCGCCCGAATCTGCCTTATTCGACCAAAGTCTGTGCGTTGTATGACTTTGCGCACCGAACCAGGCTCTTCCTCAATTCCAATCCAATCATCGCTTGACTAGGTAGTAGAGGTGTCGATGTACAAGGTACAAGCCAGAACTCGCTCAGAGGCGCCGCAATCCACATCGAGACATTTCCTGGTTTATCTCGAGCTATTGGAGAGAACTGGGAATCTGGACTCCAAAACTTTCGGTTAAAATTTTAGGTGTATTTAGGCTCGAAAGGAAGAAGTGACGAATAAAGCTATTTATTTTAGTAGAGTAAACGGCTAGAAAGTCTAGCTGATCAGAAAACATGCAACTGAAGAATGGTGAGATAGTATCAATTGTGTTCATGATTAGATTGATATAGAGGCGACCTTATCTTGATATGATGTATTAAATTGAGGTGTGAACTTCGCTCTGTTCTCTAGCTAATTGACTGGACATTTGCCCCATATTTATACCCTCGAGCAGGCTCAATTCGAGAACATTCCCAAGAAAGGCAACAGCTACAAAAGGACCTATCCCACGCGCCGGTGACGAATTTATTCCCATACTATCGCGCGTAGATGTGTTAGAATGGCGTGCTCGTCGCGGAAGGCCATCTGAATCTTTTCAAGACCCAATTCAATGGTAATTGCCGCACCCTTCTCAGGATCCATATGCGGATCGAACAGATACTTGCTGCCATTCGAGCTTATGTATATAGATAGCTATGAACCTAACGCTTCTGGTGGCAATCGATGTAAAGTAGCAGTAATGGGGTAGGGAATCCAAAAGATATGCACCGATGCTCACGCGTGAGAAGGCGTCCGAAAGTGGGTGAATAATTTCGAAGCTTAGATTTCATGGTTGAATTTGTATCAACTTCAGTCAATGCGCTGTTGTGATCCATCGTTGAGCTGGTGGTCCGACTAGGTTTGGCGCTGCCAATAGAGGTGAGAAGACGGAGGAAGAAGACGTCGCGGCAACTGCTCGGTAGTATATGATATCTTCGTGGTCTTTACAAGAGCCCGAAGCGAGCTGGCCTTTCCGACGCCGCCGACTATTGAAGAAGATTTTTGATCTATTTTGGTTGTGAGAAATGTTAGAGAAGAGATATTGAGAGGTCGTTTGCAAAGGCCGGGCAAACTGCGAGCACAGATTGGGTGTTATATGCGATGTAAGAGAACGCTCACCTGACGGTCAGTGCTTCTGGAATAGTTCTGGGGTGAAAGAGCTGAGACAAGATGGCCTGAAGGATCTGTGGCCCGGCGTAGTCGAAGATGTCGGATAGCGAGCGGCAGGTTTGCAGAAGGGAAAGCAGGGAGCTATGGTCGGGAAGAGACTTCATGATGGAAATGATGATCTCGGTGGGCAAGCATTGAAGCCTTGAGGGTGAATGTATGACCGTCATTGACAGATGGATGGATAGTTGAATGATGTGAGTGTAGAAGCACTTAGTATCAGCGTCGAAGAGCCCTATCCCTTGAGGTCGTGTAAGCTTAGGGAAGAGACGAGATACAATATCTGGATGTTGGCGAACGCAGACGGTGGCCTATAAACTGTGATATGAAGTTAGAAACTGGTGCCTGACAGTAAAGCCCTATGTGACGCGTGTCAGCAAATTCTTGGCAGCGCCTTCTAGCAGACTCTGAGGCGCAGAACTCTCGCAGACGGATGACAAGCTGGAGCAGATGTTGTCGTGGGAAGCTGTATCGTGATTGTGACCTGGGCTAGGCAGACAGTCTCATCCAAAGGAAGGAGAATCTTTTGCTAGCTGCAAGCAACGTCACAGTTGAAGCGTGCTGAATTTCGCAAATATTCTCTAACCAGCTGCCTGTGTCTAGCCGCTCGTTTTTCGTCTTACAACACCCCATGACCTCAGAGGGTCGCTTTCTAAAGCAGTAGCCCCAATCTCGTATCTCGTTCAAAGTTGTGCGACTGCGATCTCTGAGGGATGCCAATCCCAATAAACCCCAGCCCGCGCGGGGCCCGAACAAGGGCTGGATGCTAAGCGATCTTGAGCACGTTTGCAAGCCGGTCTGTTTGCGCCGTCCAATGGAAGGACATCCGATAGCGTTGAAGTCTGAGGGTGACAATACTGCTTCAAGAGTGCTAATCGTGTCTCTAGTGGCGCTGTGACCAGCTTGTGCAGGAAGATTAGTCCCATGGAGATGACTTGCTCTTTATATCGGTAGCTCAAGATTTCATTCTCGATACCATGAGCACAGACGAGAGAACTGTACTTCGGATCATCAAGAAATGACACCATAGAGATCAAGTAGCGGTAGACGCAATGTAGCTCCTCCAACTCCCAGCTAGGCAGCCGCCTAATGAAGTCACCAAGCGGATGTTCCTTCTGAGTCCGTCCATCATACCATAGGTGCTGTACATTCCGAGGGTACATCTGACAGATCCGCTGAAAGCGGTACAATGCCCTTTGGATTCTGACACTCTTTGCTAGCTGTAGAGGGATCTTCCAGATGCTGCTTTCTGACACCCCCGTCGATCCGTCTAGATTTGGATGGTTGACAGCTTTCGGAAAAGCGCTGGCCAAGTCTTCGATAATGATATGAAATCTTAGTCCTTCTGCCGTGACAGTCTCTCGGGGGTCCTTTGCGCATTGCTTTTCGAATTTGCATTCAGCATAGGCTAAAAATCCGTCCATGTCGTCGTGCCAATCTGGCGTGTTCCGCCGAATGTAAGATGCCGCATGCAGCCATCTTGATTCTGCGGCTAATTGAGGCTCATTGAAGAACAATCTCCTCAACACACTCCATTGGATAGATGGAGTAGAAAGCATATACGCATCATGAGCGCTTCTAGAGGCAATTACGACGGAGTGAAGGGACGAGAAGTCTGGCAGAAAAGCCAGAATCATGCGATGCAATTCAAGGGGCAGATGTTCGAAATAGCTGCTTGGTCCTGACGGATAACTCATTTTTCGAGTAGGCAGAGGGCTGATAATGAATATTATTGTGTACTCGAGGCGAGTGGTATCCTTTGAGTAAAATGCTGAACTTCATATATAAACTGCGAACATGAAACAAGTCTTGCGAAGCCGATGGATCCCTAAACGGGCAATCGAGCTCCGCCTGCGCAGTTACGCTGCACAAACAGCTTTTGAAAGTATCTGAGTATCTAAGTTGACTTAGTATGCATATAGAAATTGTTTTGTACATGAAGAGCTTGACCTCATCACGGCATCGACCAGAAATAGTAGGTGCCAAGGGCAGGTGCTTCCAGCACTAAGTACTGGGACTGTACTGGGACTTTACTGCTTTGAGCTGCGCGATCTGGCTAACCGTTGTAGCATGTAGATCGCGGGAATGGCAATCGAAAATGGGATCTTGTCCCGCGATCTGATTGAAAAAGGACCAGATCTTCTCCAGAAACAGGTGACATTTCAAACGCCGTCCGTGCCTTGGTCAACCGGGGACCAGGGTTCACGGAAGCTAAAGAATACTCAATGCTAAGCGAGGACACGAGCCTGTCCTATCGTGCACGATTCAAGATTGTATCCCAGCCCAAAACCCTCAGATAGCGCTCCTCACCAGGCTCGGACCCCCCTTTGACAGGCGCCACGGTATGATCAATGGCATACAATCTCACACCTCTCCTCTTGGAGTGATTGACTATTATGGCATCTCAACCGTAAAGATACGAGCTGGCAAGGCTCATGTAAGCAAATTAAAAAAGTCGTCATCGGAGATGACGCTCCTCCTGGGCCTCAATCTGGCATTCCAGTGGGGAACTACCCAAAGCTTTTTGGTCGTAAGCCATCAAGCAGCAATTGCGGTATATCTATCTTGCTATTGGCGAAGCAGGCAATGACAGCGGAAGCTCAAGCAGCTAATACCGCAGCGGAGAGAGCGTTAGGACTTGTCATACTCCGTACTTTGCAGGAGAATTGCAATAGTCACCGATGCGACTGTCGCCTGGGAATATGGTCGAAACGGGCCAGTGGGGGTCATTTTGGCAGGAATGTCACCTCGGCCGGAATTGGCTGCGCTTTGGTCAACTACGTACTAACTAGTAATAGCTAGTTAAGTGCCATGCTCGGACGCTCGGTGGATTGGTATCTGCCCGGATGGTAGGGGATCCGTGAGGCCAGCATCTATTGTCAAGGTGCATCACCAAGTGTGCTTCGAAATCCCTTAGCGCCGTCCTTTTGCCGCATTGGTTGATGCATCATTTTCCTTCCAGCAGATGAAATGGGCCCTCAGGAATTAGCAAGGCCACTAAAATATACGGATAACTTGACTTCAAGTTGTCTATGTACAGGACTGCAGAGAGATAGTTCCTAACTAGTACCCAATCAATCTGCAGAGACTCTCCCGAATCACGATGTAGGATGAATGTGGCTAGCAGGTAATGCTCGGGGCTTCAACGAGACATAGTACTATGCCGCGAAATTGTGCTGCTATCTCTTCTTGGTACAGTCAACGTTGGAACTCATATTCCGGCCGGCCCCGTGTACTATTATTGTAGCCATACTCGTATGCCGACCTACTGCCAGTCTCTCACTAGCAATTTACGTACTACGTAGTACATAGTACACTCGACAGCCAGTTTTATCCATCTGTGGTTAAATAGCGTAGCAAGCCTCCCCTGCATCTGGCAGCTCAGCCTTGCCAGCTTCGTCCAACAAGCCAACCACAACTTGCGCTGGCTTACCTTAGCCCACAAGGTTCGGATTGCTCATCTCGGTATGGTCACGGAGGAGAGGTACATGGAGGATCACAGAACTTCTCTAGCGTGAGACGGAACTGTATTGCGCGCTGGCTCATGACCCCTCCAACACCGTCAGCCGTATTGCAAACTGGTGAGCAACTGCTCGAAAAAGATCTGACGTGCCTTGCCTTGAGTCTGGGTTGCTGGGCTCCTCTGCTTTCGAAAAGGCTGATTGTAAGCGGATGGTGCTGTTAGCAGAGCACTGGAAATCCTCCCAGCGCATGTACGATAGCAAGGCAGCGTGGGCACTCAAGAGGCAACGAGGCAGTGACTATGTGAGCTATGTCGAGAATGCATCCTTCTTGTGTCTGTCGTGAAACAGCCGCATGCCTACCCGCCTGTGATTTACTTCTTGACATGTCTGCTCCTACACCGGCTCTGTCTCTTGCCTTTCTTCTTGTTCTGTCCTTCAATATTTCTTTCTAGATTCTGTCCGCACCATCTCTGTGTGCCAATCTCAAGAGCGAACATTGCTGGTGGTCAGGCGCACGACAGGGAGACGGAGAATGCGGTGCAGGTGCATAGTTGGGGCGAGCAGTTGCACAACCTTCTGCACACTATTGGTATGCTCTGCCGATAATTGATAGAAACAGAAGGAGAGCGTTGAATAAAAGTAGTGTGGCACTCAAGTGGACTGGAGGACGACATGGTCATCATGGTCATCATTTGGTGGCTCTGCTAGGTGTACCATAGGAGCACCAGGGGTCCATGCAATATCTGTGTAGGTCACCACCCGTACTTGTTACAGTAGGATTTGCTGCACCCACCATTCCGAAGTGTTCCACGTCTCTTTCCAAAGTCCAATTGACTTCCCCTATCTGATGATGATGCGACGAATCCAAGACATTGGGTATCACCATGCTACGCTTCGACGAAAACACACATCCACATCAATCACTTTCCTTTGGCAGCCTCCACCGTTGTCTCGCTTCCATGTCTCGTCTTGTATTCCCTTGGGCTCTCAAAGTTCTTCTTAGTAGCAGCCCACATTCCTTTCTTCCTCAGCTTAGCCCACCACTCGGCCTTGCGATATTTCTCCTCTAGACCAACCCCAAACTCCGCGCCGGATTTCGCCTCATAAACTGTAGCTAACCCGGCCCTGAGCATCTGAAGGCCAACGTCTCTCCGAAGCAAGCCCTTCCATATATAAACAGTGGCGACGACGCGATCATATTGGTCGCGTTTGTAGACGTAAGCTCGGATTCTGCGATTGAGAACGTAGTCCGTCAACCAAGTCAGCGCTTCTTGTGAGAACGGCTGCGGTGGTCTGCCGAAGTGCGCAAGCTCTGGCGCATCGACTCCAGCAAGTCGAATATGTATCTACCACTATCATCAGTCCCATCATATCGGCTCCCAGGTTGCGCGTTACTGCAACTCACCGTTTTGTTCTTTAATTCCTTTTTCTCTTTCGGCACCCTCCTCCACGGCAACCAGCCCCATCCTGCCAATCTGCCGCCGGGCGTATGGAAGACTCGAAAATTATCCCCATCCCCCACGCTCGTCACACGTCCCACAAGACTCCTCTTTCGAAAGAAACCAGGACTGATGTTCCCTGCAACAGGGATGCGGCGTAAATAGCTGCGGTAGAATGCGTAGAAGGCGAGGCAGGTGCCAGTGAGGACGGCAGTCGGAAGAATATTCTCTCGGGCAAAGAAGAGCTGTGAGGGAGTGGTGGTGAGGAAAGAGGACCAGTCTGTGGATTTTCGGGAGGGTGGGAGGGTCGATGCAGATTTGGAGGTCGAGAGGAAGCTGTCGAGGGCTTCTCCCGGTGTTTGGCTGGTATTTGTGCCGAGTTCTTTACTGACTTCATCTTGTTGTGACGGGTACGAGGCCCAGAGACTGGGCCATCGCATGGCGAGTCTGTTGTCGCCAAAGCAGCCAACCTGAACAGTGTTGTATGCTGCTGTAGACTGTGTACTGGGTACTGTGCACATATACGGGCGGAGACAAGCTGGTTGGCTTACGTAAGCGTTAATATGCCAAGCATTGAGATGGAGAAATATCATGAAATTGGATTACCAGTACTCCGTAGTACTCGATAGTAGTTCAATCTTTCCAGCTCAATCTCATCAGAGAGACATCATTGCAGAACTTTTACCTTACATCGATGGTCTGTGAGACAGCCGACATCTCGACCACTATGGTGGAAAGGCTATCTGTCTATGTACAATCGTCACAAGATGCTAGAATTAAGGCCTGAGACAGTTATGGATCTCTACCATCCATCCATGAGAGAGACCAGCCATAAGACTGCACTTACGTCTGTTTTGAAAGATTCATCTGTAGACGCAGGGAACAAACTCTTGTCAATCCAAACTGCGCAAAATGGAACATGAACAAATGTTTGGTGGAGTGACCTGCTACCTAGCTAGCCATTGCAAGAGAAGACGACCAGCTTCGAACCAGAACCACCAGGAAACCTTTCTTGGTACTTGGGTTCGAAGGCTATCTTGATCATGGTAGTCACAGCAAGTGTGGCGTAGGTTTTCTGCCACCACACCGGAGGGAGCAAGCTGTTACAGTACTACTACGACTAAAGACCGCCAAGAAGCCCTTTTAGGAATTCGGAAAAATGACCAAGATCAGGCCGGGAAAGTCATGCTGAAGATGATGGCTCGAGGTGTGATAATAGCTTTGCAGCTGACTACAAAAAAGGGGGGGAGGTGGGAAACAAGCTTGCTGCATTGTCCTATGTGAGTTATTCAACACCAGGCTAAAACCGCATGTCACCTCAATTGGAGCATTCATTCACTTCACCATTGAGGCCCATTGAGGTATTGACCGCAAAGGGAACAATAGGGGCTATTTCCTCAATGGTTGTGCTGGCACACAACTCCCCAACTTTCTTACTTGCTGCTCCACAGAAATCCTTCTACTTTTCCTCCATTATTCCACAGCATCTTTGTTTCTCTAAATACTCAAGTGCTCATCTTCTTCACTCAGGTAGTGATTTCTACGTGTCGCATACGCATAGTTCTATCTCTTCTTCCTGCTGGTCAGGAAAGTGCCTCTTCTCACTTGTTCCCCATTCATCCGCCCTCGCCTTATCACTCTTGCGCTGGAAGCAAGCTCAAAATTACGTCTTCAACTACCACAGATATCCTCAGGCAAGGCTATACGCACCATGGCGAGTAGGTATCATAGTCCAGTGATAGAAGCGCCGCCTCTCAAGGCACTAAAACCGCCAATAACCCGCCAGCAACCATTACTCTCTTCAACATTGTCGATTGCTTTCGACGCACTGGATGACCTCAAGGAGAAACTATCTCATTGCCAGACGATGGCATTTCAAATCGAGGTTGTCCTCAACGACATCAAAACTTCGGCCAATTGTACGTTCGCCAGTCAAGACACCTCTTTAATTGACCTGTCGCGGGACCCAAGACCAGCTGCAAAAGTTCTCTTGGCGGCTCAGGAAGCCCAAGATGCTCAAGCAGCTCTGGAAGCCCGGAAAGTCGAGATAGCTATGAAAGCCCCAGCAGCCCCAGCAGCCCCAGAAGCCCCAGAAGCCCCAGAAGCCCCAGAAGCCCCAGAAGCCCCAGAAGCCCCAGAAGCCCCAGAAGCCCCAGAAGCCCCAGAAGCCCCAGAAGCCCCAGAAGCCCCAGAAGCCCCAGAAGGCCCCCGAAGTCCTAGAAGCCCTAGAAGCCCTAGAAGCCCAGCAAGCTGCAAAGAGCGCTTCGGTGGAGTCTCCGTCATCGAGTCACGTCGTCGAGGAAGTCGACACTTCTTATCCATCAGCTCCTACTTTCAATTCACCGCCGGCCCCCAGTGGAAATAAAGCAGGGCGCACTTCGGCCGTCTCGCGGTTAAGAGGTCCTGTCGACTTTATCGCGGGCATGCGAGACGGGGCTGGTGTGGATCGATTGCTTGAGAAGCAAAGAGCGAGTCTACCCAAGGGGAATGTCCTGGGCTTAGCCTATACCTGTGAAGCTAAATGCGGATACGACGACACTGCAGCGGATTTCATCAGTTGCGATTCTGCTTTCCACAGAAAGCAGCCACGACTCAAGCTTCCTACAGGAGAATACAGTGATCGAGGCTGGTATCATCGACCTTGCGAGGGGGTTCCCCCCGGACCGGTGCCGAGTACTTGGTTTTGCAGTTCTTGTAGGGCCAGAGGCAGAATGTCAACAGACGACCACGACTACGATGATGGCAACGACAGTGATCAGGACGACCAGCCTGATGCAGACGACTTTGATGGTAGTGAAGATGGGTTCGATCCAGGACAGGGCACTCCTAGCGAAGATGGCGATGACAGCGATGGGCAGGATGAAGATCAATACGATTACGAGGATCTCGGCAGCACGAACGCTGACAAGGAAAACCGCCATATTACAGACGAAGTTGCACAAGACAACGATCAAGATGTACAGGACGACGCTCACGACTTGCATGACGATGATCAAGACTCGCAGGACGAATCTGATCATGATTACGACTATGTCAATCCTGATAAGCGTCGGGTGCCATATATCATAGGAGATGATTCGCAGGACGAATCTGATGAGGATGACGACTATGTCAATTATGATAACTATTGGAAGCCCTACACTATAGACGACGAAGATAAGCAGGACAGCAATCAAGCAGCGAATACAGCCAGCTCCAGCACTACGCGGAAGAAGCCCAACAAGAGTCGGAAGCCAACTCCGCACAGTCTAGGTACCGCCGGCGCCAACCAAACTCCTCTGCCTCCACCAAAAACCTATTCTCGGCAACGATGGCTTGAAGAGGAGAAAGCAGAAGCTATACGCCTCATGAGGGAGATCATTGACGAAGATGTGATCTCTGGAGAAGCGCGCTTCGAAGAAACCGCTCGACGCATGCGGCTTCAAGGGTACCAGAGGCCGTGGACTGGTGTGAAGAACGTCTGGAACAGGGGCCTTCGCGAGCGATCGGGTTATGATGAACGAAGGAATCAAAACGCACCATTGACGACCTCAAAACAAGACGCCGAAACCAAGAGAAAGAGAAAGGAGGAGAAGGAGAAGGAGCAGGCATCGCGTTCTTCAACCACTGAAACGGATGGCAATGGTGGTGACGGATCAGAGACTGTTGACCAGACTGTTGACCAGACTGTTGACCAGACGAATGACCAGACGAATGACCAGACGAATGACCAGGCACAGAGTTCGACCAGCGTGCAGACAAATGGCTATGCGACCCCAAGAGCAAAGAGCCAGAGCCCGAAGCGCCAGCATGTGGCGGACGAGGATGACGAAGCCACACCTACCAAGCGCCGGAGGTCGGTGTAGTAGCCTTCTGACAGAGAAGGTAGAGGATTTGTGCTGGATTGTACCTCTCCATGCGGGCCACTGGAGAGGGAAAGACATGTTTCCCATGTGTTGGACTTGGTGGTTGGAGTTGATTGGATTCAAGGACAGTTGCCTGCCAAGATATCAGCACGCTGGTTAATTACCACTATGTATTATCTTACCTGCTGTGTACTCTGTATTTTACACCGATACAGTCCCATTCGTTTGATATGTTCCTCGATGCAAAGCCTGAAGCCTCGCGCTCTTTTACCTTATATGTACTCTCCATTCTGCGTAAGCTCGCTCTTAAGCATCTAGCCTTCATCCATCTACCCTATCCTCTACTCTGCCTCTCCTGAACATGACCACCCACCTAGAAACAATGTCGCAGCAGTTTGGCAGCTCGATGGCCGACGATGACAACATGGATATTGACATTGACATTGATATGGACGCTGATGTCGAACCGATCCCTGAACCAGAACTTGAGGTATTGCTCAGCGTGTCCACTTACCCATGCCACACCACATCCTTACATCTGGCTTACAGGAAGGAGAAGAGTACGAGTTGACACCGTTCAATGCACCAATTCCTGATACGTTAGTACCAGCGATCTACACTGAAGACCCTGAACAAGAGATACAACCCACCAAAGTCCATATTCGAGGCATTGACGATTTCTCCACCGATGATGTGCGGAATTTTGCCATGGACTACTTTTCCCCACCCCCAACCTTTGTCCAATGGATCGACGATACCTCCGCCAATCTGGTCTATCCTTCATCTGACCTTGCTCTCCAAGCACTGGAAGCTCTCTGCGCAGTCACACCTACCAAAACAGACATCATCAACAGTCCCCTACAGCTACGAGAAGCAAAGCCTCGCGCAGGCTCCCATCTCCAAGTCCGCAGAGCAACAGCCAGCGACAAGAAGAGACGCAATGCCAAAGAAGCAAGCCGCTACTACCTCCTCCACCCAGAGGCCGATCCCATCGAGCGCATGCGAGCCGAATTCGCAAACGGCCGTAGCCGCCGCAACGGTGACCATGGAGACTACCAGCGAAGACGATACAACGACCGCGAAGACCGAAGGAGGAGGGACCAAGATGCCAATGGCGAATCGGGAGGAGGAGCAGACTTCAATGCAAGCATGTACGACGACAACCCTGAACCAGCAAGACCCTCGCGCAGTCGTGGTGCTGGCGGTGGGAGGCGAACCGCGCGCAACCGCAGCGCCTCCCCTGGCCGCAGCACAACCAACAGTGACGAAATCATCCTCGACGATGCCTCTGACCCTTCCGAAACTGAGCGCCCCTCTTCCTCTTCCTTCCGCCGCAATCGACCCACCAACCGATTCCGAGACCGCTCTCCACCACCCACCTACTCCCGCGATGATCCCCATCCCTTCCCCAAGGCCAACCGCGAGAAAGAGCTCTTCCCCTCCTCCATCTCCGGCACACAGACCAGCAGCGGCCAACTGGCAAGTGACAAACTCCAGGCGCAAAAGCAAGCCGACCGCGTCGCCGCAGCCGCGAAGCTGAAGAAAGAACTCTTTCCCAACCGCACCGATCGATCAAATCACCGCCGCAGCGACGCGTTCGATGCGCGTGCCAAAGCGGATGCTGCGAATGCAGATGAGCTGTCTCGGCGGATGAGGGGGAGGATGGACATCAGCGATCACAACACGCCGGCGTCAGCAAGCAGCAATGGCAATGCTGGGAAGGAACTCTTTTCCACCCCGACTTCCAGTTCCGGTGCTGGGCCGAGGAGTGGGGATGACAGCGGGCTCAACATCAAGGGTACAGCGGGTCTATCGATCAAGGGCGGAGCGGGGATGAGCATCAAGGGCGCGGCTACAGCACCAGCGAATGTGCGGGAGTTGTTCCCGGACAAGTTCGTCAAGGGTGGGAGTGGGAATGAGGGAAAGGAGCTGTTTAGCGACAAGATCAGGGGCCGCGGGACGCTGCGCAGGAATAAGGCGGAGGATCTCTTTGGCTGATGCATGTGAGCGGATGGGTGGAGGTCTTGGGAGGGTAGGGGGACCCGAAGGCTCGGTGGTGCATGGTGAATCGACGGCGTATGAAGGAGGTGCCTTAGCTATACACACCGCCGAGGAGCACTAGCAGCATGGCCTTCCAGGAAAGGAGGTCTACGGTGCCTAGCGCGACGAGACGAGTGCTATGGGCTCACCATCCCTGCCGTCACGTCACGAGCCAACAAACAAACAAATACGCAAGCGAAGCAGACCAACCAATGCCAGCCCTTAGCTTAGCTATGCTTCCATTTCTGCTGCTGGAGAAAGAAACCTCGACAGAAAGACAGATAGATAGATAGCTAGCCATCCCCGCTCCAAATGGTCGAAGAAGAAGAAGAAGAAGACCATATTCTCAAATCCCACCCTCGTGCACAAGCTCCCACGATCACTTTTCAGTCAGGGAGAAGCTGGAAAAAAAAGGAACCAAGGCATGCTACGTAGTGACATAATAACCACCACCACCACCACCACCATCATCATCGAGAAAACAGATCATACCAAGGCGGTCTGGAAGCCGTGCTGGCTGGGTACGCGCTCTCTCTC